GCCTGACAGTACCCCAAGACCCTTGGACCGGCGTTATTACGCTTTCTCTTTTTCGAAAAGCCACAGAGGGGTCTTTGGTGTGCGAGAGTGGGCAAACCTCACACGGGCCACCGTTTAAAGTCCTATCCGTTGGACTTTTGTTAGTGGTTAGTAGTTGGAACGGTTAGGTGTAATTAAAATTAAAACTTGTTTTTTGTTATTCCGTCTTGAAAACCTTTCCAATCATATCGAATGTATGGTCTTTAATTGGTTGTTTGTTTGTGTGTTGTGTTGTATGTGTGGTTGTGTGTATAATTCTAGATTTTGAGATAGCAAGTATCGGTGGTGTGTTTTGTTTTTTTGACCCAATAGTCAGTGTTGCATAAACAGTTCTGTAAAAAAATATCGTGAACTTTTTATTCTCGTTGACCTACCTAACAGGATTGTATATGCTACCAGCCAGGGTAGAAGACCCGAATCCGACTGCAAATCATTACATGACCAATGTACCCCGAGGTTCCCTTTATGTTTAATCTATGCTGGACGTAGGGCCTTAAATGTGGATTTTTTTGTGTGTGTTTTTCTTTCGATTTAGTCGTTTGTTTAACAAACACTTTAAAAGGTGTGCTTACTTGTGTGTGCTGTTTTATTTATATTTTTTCGGCAGCGAACCTTCCGCTCGGAAACCCCCGGGGGACACAACTGCCTTCGTTGTATGTGTAGACAATTTTACAAATGTGAATGCGGGGTTGGGGCACAGAGGAGGACACAACATACCTCATGAGGTTTCAGTATGCACCAATAAATGAGAAGGCAAGAAGTGATCCTCTCTTGTAAAGTATCCCTGTATATCCTGGGAACCCTATCTGTTGTGAGTAGTGTTGTTTTATGTTTCTGTTTAGGAGTTGTCTCCCTTCAACCTTTCTGATTACCGTTTATATTTTATCTAAGAAGTTGGTCTTTCTGAGAAATTCGACGAGCAGTCTATGTGACGTTAAAAGCTGGCAGACGGATGTGTTTTGGGTTTTTATTCTTTTGAATGGGATATTTTCTTTCCTGATCGAATCTCAAAACGAAAATCATTGTGTTTTGAGCTCTCTTTCAATTTTCTTTGATATCGTTTATATGGGGTACCCAGGTTAAGTTTTGCTCAAATATCATTCCTAAATATCGTGTTTTTGAAACAGATTTAAACATTTTGGTCGCCTAAGTAGAGCTCTGGTGTTATGACAGATTATATCTATCACTTTTGGCAATACGTAGCTTGTCGAATTTCCCGGAATATGTTAAAGTCTGCATCCTTCCCATGGTCGTCAGTTTTCACTTTCGACCGGCACAGAGAAGCTCAAACTTTTGACACAAGATCTCTTCTGGTTAAAAGGCGTTTTAGGCCTTTATTGTAATATTCTGTGAAGTGGTATTCTTTTTTAAAACATATTGTGATATGTGGTGGAAGCGACATGAAGAAGATATGACGAACACAGTCACGTGACAAGGTATGAAAGAATGGATATAAAAGAATACATGGTAAGTGCCTAAAATATCAGCTGAATTTTGCGACGGCAAAGGCAGACAAAAGAGGCGAGCCTTATAATTTAACCATGGTCATTGATTGAAAATCAGATAATCAAAACTTCATCAGTTTGGCTGTTCAACCTTTGTTTACCTGACGTTGACGTTACGCTAAATTTTGCCTGATGACGCACGCCAAAATAAATGCTCCGCGCAGAGGAGTAGTTCCAAACTTCAGCGGATATGACAGCACTTTTATGAATTTTCGTAAATAGAATTATTCATTACAACATATAAAATCACTTATCTAAACATTTATTTATGTTATTAAACGTAATTTTAAAGTCAATTCAGAAAGTGATTTTGTCGAATTACCGCACGTGCTAAAATACAGCTGTTTTCCGTCACATCCAAATACAGCAAAAATATATTTGGCAGGCTTATTCCTTTAACAACACTGCCAGTTGCACGATAAATATGTTTAGCTGATAGTATAATAATGCTGCTTTATGAACCGAGTCAACTTTGCAGATCTCTTTAACCGGGCATTTAAATCGCCATATGAAACGTTCCTGTAATTGTTTGGGGTGTGACGGTCTGGACTTTCCTGTGTCCTATATTTAGAACAGTGGTAGTGGGATTAGCTTCCTGTGGTTATGGTGTAGTGGTTGGGTGCATGGCAGAAAATGCATTCCTGTGGAAGTTGGCACTCCGTTTATTTCAAATGAGTTTTTTAACGATTCTTTACAAAGGTTTCAGTAAGTTGACGTTATGTTGGACCATATTAGTACATTTAGCTGATGTGGGAGATTTAGAATTTAACCTGTCATATTTTTTGACATTCTGATATTATCAACATATGATAGCCTAGTTGAAAGGCAAGAAAAACTAATCAGAACGTGCCGCTAAGACTGTCATCATCGTCCCCTCCGTCGAGTGATTCAATCATCATGCCAAGTCGTTATCATACCTTTCTCTAATTACATCATCTATCATCTACCTTAAAATGAAACATGGGTGACATGTTGGCGTACGTCAGAATTATTGCCATGACAACCTTTGTATACCGGTAATTAAATCGTTAAAAAAGCGTTATGTCAGCAATTAATTTTCTTTAACTCCCTTTTAGTATGAAGTTGACTGTTAATGTAGGTTTTGGTATACAAAAATTACAATTCAATTCCTAATGATAGATGCTAAATGTTGTTGTAAATGCAGATGATTAGCTGGTGGTCATTAAATGCTTGACCCTTGTCAACTCGCCCACAAGGTGATGAGTGACACTCTAGGTAGTCTGCACTAGGTAAAGCTGGTAAACAGACTAACTACAGTGATGGTAGACTACACATGCCGTTCGTGACACACTATAGACTTGATATATTATTCCTATTTCCACTGTGAATTATCACGATGTTGGCGATGATGTTGATGATATATTTGTATAACAGCCATGTCGGTGTGTAATAACCCGGAGCGGTATCATTAGTGCATAATTATCACTCTTCACAACACTGAACTGTTTTTAGAACATCCGTTTGTTTTGTTTCGGGTACTTCAAATTTACAGATATATTGTGGTAAAACTATACATATTTAAATGTTTACATATCATTTCATCAATGCAATCTCTGGAGATGATAGCATTTAAGATTATCGAAACAATTATCCTACACAGTTGCATGTTATTGACTAGGATAGGATTAGGATAGGACTAGGATAGGATTAGGATAGGACTAGGATAGACCAGCACTGGCTATAATTACCTATTAATTCTCTTATCGTCCAGGTATTGAACGTGCACGTCATATTGTACATATTACTTCGCATTTTTGAGACCCATTCGTTATGTAAAGTATAGGTAGATACACAGACCGATTACTTCCTGTTGGAGGAATGAATCGGCAAACGTACCCCGATTTACAACCTGTCACGAGAGTGCACGACAGTATCGTGAATATATTTATTTACCTGTACCTGTGAACCCGGACAGGCCAGAACTATCGAGAATACCATGATGATAAAGCATTGCATTCAGCTGTGATGTACTGTTAACTTTCGGACCACATAGAAATATGAATACTTTGGAACTACCAGTGTTGTTATCTTTATTTGTATTTAACAATATAAAGAAATATTTTCTCACAAATTTATCCAAATTATAAAAATGCTTTACAAAATTAATTACAATTTTTTTAAATAGAAAAAAAAAATTGAATTAGACTTTTCTTTGTCGAAGAGACTGAATTTTGCTGCATTATTCCAGTTTTTGATGAGATGTGAGGGAACATGCTTATTGCATGCTTATAAATATGCTTATTACATCATATTGGTCAATCAATGCAAACCAGCAATCATGTAAGCAATAAGGCCATCAGGAATTTGTCTTCTATTTTGTTATTTTGGAAACCTAACTAGTACTAAGTATACATCAAGTTTCAAGTTTCCACTTGAAATGGTTACACTAGGACGCAGGATTTTTTCTCGACTTCGTTTGCAATGTTGGCCCGCTCTCTACATATTTACCAAATATTGAACTGCTATATTTCATTATCAAACAATTCTGAAATCATTTTTTTCTGAAAGTGGGATAGGTATGCACTGATATCATAAAATCGGAAAAAAGACTTTGACAAAAACTTCATCGAATAATGGCATTCCGCCGTGAACTAAGTGTGAAATATTTGATCACGATCATCGGGATGAAGACATAGCTATATAAGATGTAGTAAAAGGGTTAGATGGTATGTTATTTACAGGTCACAGATTGCCAAAGATACACACAACAAAGTCATCACCTCTTACACGTGTAACTGACGTCAGCCATAGGGTATGGTTGGTCGGTTGTTTTACTTAACATCCGCTCCCACCCGTGGATGTACCTCACAAGCCACTTGTGCGAGTACGTCCCAGGTATATCGTTGTTAACCAGCAGGACGGGATTGGGGTTACCCCCTCCACTGGCGAGGTACTGATCTTGTCCATTAGGTACGTTGTCAGAGTCGGGGTCAAGATGCGGCGGGTGGTGCACTGTATAACTCCCTACGGTTCAGTACAGACGGCGTACTGACAGGGTCAAGCGCCCTTATGCGTCGTATCTCCTGGTATTTTATCTTAAAATTATTTTTTTTTTGTCTTGAAGTTTTGCCCTGGTAGATAAATGGATTATCACGTATCGATCATGTAGTTTAAATAATGTGTGATTTTTATTAACTTTATCTGCCATATCCAGGACTTATGCAAGTCTACAACTGACAGCGTGGTACATAGGGACAAGGGTTTGGTATGTATTGATCTGTCAAATGTCGTATAAACATACGTACAGTAAAAAGATGATCATATAATTTGTTGATTCATTCCTAATTTTGAAGACTCATTTTGTTTACACACGCGGATCACACGTATCCGGGTTTATCAGAAAATTTAGTGATAAGTAAAGACCATTCAGTTATCTCACACGCACAGACACACAGGCCAGGACACACACATACACAGGACTGTATCAGCGCTAATATGTCGGCTGGAGCTCCACTTACCGTTCCCATGCCGGGGAAGCCATATCCCACTGTAGGACTGGGAACGTTTACTATATTTGAGAAAACCGTAAGTATATGTTATGGATGGAAGGCAGGGGGCGTTAATTGGATACAGTTACAAGCCGCTCACAAGAATTTCGCTGCATTATGAATATCTTTTGAAATTTTTCAAACTTTGAAATATGAAAATATTGGGTTATATTCGAAAAAGTCAATCTTAATTTATCAAGGTAAGATTTGAGTTATAAATAAACCTACTTTTTGGAAAGAGCAGCGGGAGGTTATTTCATGACAACTCCATTTCCCCTCGCCGACGCCGGTGTCGGTTCACCGGTGTGGCGTGAAAATTGCACCCCATATTCATTCGAACATATCTTCTCTAGAGAACTTTAACTTTCTAGATCCATCGGTCCTCTCCAAACAACACTTGATAACATATTTTAAAAGATGGAATAGTTCTCGTTTATTATCGTTATCGATATAATAAGTATGAGAGGAAGGTAAGAAGGCGGGAGAGGACTGAGCGGGAGATGATTGAGCGGGAGGGGAGAGAAAGAGAACACAATGTGAAATTCTGTTTGTCTATTTTGTTTGGAATGGAAAGTTATTATCACCCCCTCCCCGCCCCCTAATGATATATTGACGTATAATATGGATACAGATGTTCACTAGGGAATGTGATAAACGTATTCGATGTTTTACATCTTCATCATCATCACATCATCAGTATCCACCAAAATTGAAGAGTTATCGAAAAAAATAACCTACCCTGTGTTAAAAAAAGATCCACGTTCTTATTGTCCTAATCTTATAAAGGTAACGTATTGTTTGGATTTCATTAACAAGAAAGGCCGATCAAGAGTATACATTTCTTTGTGGCCTTTACTCGAAATCTCCCTTCGGTTTTTTTTTCAAGGTCAGTTCCTCCCTCCACACGACAAAGGTTTGTTTTAAAAGTTGACTTCCGTCCCCCGTCAGATTTAGCTCCCCTTCACTGTGCAGACTTACAAACGAGATATCCTTATCGTGGTGTCTGAAGTGTTTGTTTAGTCACTGTATGTACACGTTAACTACTACTCTCTGGCAATGTCTAAACTTGTATAATCAGTTACTTCCATCGACATCAATAGACTGGGACTCTATTGATAAAAAATATAACGTGCATGTAAAAAGGAAGACAATACAAGGAAAATATGTAATAACAGGAGAGTTCAGATGTTGAAATTAAAATTTTCGTTTTAGTAAGCATTTAATTTGCTGAAGTACTGTAAAATGACATGTTAGCGCAAACGTGAAAATCGGGCTAATATAAACTCAACGCTATCAACATTTTAGTGATCAATAAATAATTATAATCGATAAGTATAATTCCAATAGCACGTAAATTATCACAAGGAATCTTCTTTTCTCCAATAGAAACCCCCATTTTTTCTTTCTTTAAAAGGGTGGTGCAGAGGAAGTGTACAACGCGGTCAAGGTCGCTATTGCTGAAGGTTACCGCCACGTGGATTGCGCGTTCGTTTACGGTAATGAGAAGGCAGTTGGGGACGCTATAAAGGCAAAAATCGCAGACGGAACTATTACCCGGAACGACATCTACATCACCACAAAGGTATGTGACGTCAGAACAGGACTGTCCCTGTTGATTGACCAATTTTTCATGAAGTTTGCTATGTCATTGTGTATGTATAAATCTATGCCTTATTTCGCAATAACGGATATATTCTTTCGTCACACCTTACGATCAGCAACTACAAGTATGTATGTGTTTTATATGATTTTCTGTGAGGTGTGTGTGAATATTTTTAAATCATCGCATCACTTTCAAACTTCTGCGGAAATTCCCTTATCGGGTTCTGTTGTCTTTGACCACGCTAATGTAAAGTTTACACACGATAATCCTATAAGAAACATATTGATACTATCATAGACGATTTCCCCTTGATCTCCCTATAAGAAAATTTTGCTCACATGATTAATGGGTTCTTTATAATAACCCTTTTAGAAAACACGACATTGTTACAATAATATGTAGTTTCTCCACGATAACCCTATTAAAAAACACGACATTGTTACAATAATATGTAGTTTCTCCACGATAACCCTATTAAAAAACTCGACATTGTTACAATAATATATAGTTTCTCCACGATAACCCTGTAAGAAAACACGACATTGTTACGATAATATATAGCTTATCCACGATAACCCTGTAAGAAAACACGACATTGTTACGATAATATATAGCTTATCCACGATAACCCGGTAAAAAAAAACACATTATTACAATAATATATGGTTTATCCACAATAACCCTGTAAGAAAACACATGTTACAATAATATATGGTTTATCCACAATAACCCTGTAAGAAAACACATTATTACAATAATATATGGTTTATCCACAATAACCCTGTAAGAAAACACATTGTTACAATAATATATGGTTTATCCACAATAACCCTGTAAGAAAACACATTGTTACAATAATATATGGTTTATCCACAATAACCCTGTAAGAAAACACATGTTACAATAATATATGGTTTATCCACAATAACCCTGTAAGAAAACACATTGTTACAATAATATATGGTTTATCCACAATAACCCTGTAAGAAAACACATTATTACAATAATATATGGTTTATCCACAATAACCCTGTAAGAAAACACTTTATTACAATAATATATGGTTTATCCACAATAACCCTGTAAGAAAACACGACATTGTTACGATAATATATAGTTTCTCCACGATAACCCTGTAAGAAAACACGACATTGTTACGATAATATATAGTTTCTCCACGATAACCCTGTAAGAAAACACGACATTGTTACGATAATATATAGTTTCTCCACGATAACCCTGTAAGAAAACACGACATTGTTACGATAATATATAGTTTCTCCACGATAACCCTGTAAGAAAACACGACATTGTTACGATAATGTATAGCTTATCCACGATAACCCTGTAAGAAAACACGACATTGTTACGATAATGTATAGCTTATCCACGATAACCCTGTAAGAAAACACGACATTGTTACAATAACATTTAGTTTCCCCACGATAACCCTGTAAGACAACAAATTATTACAATAATATATGGTTTATCCACAATAACCCTGTAAGAAAACACTTTATTACAATAATATATGGTTTCTCCACGATAACCCTGTAAGAAAACACGACATTGTTCTGATAATATATAGTTTCTCCACGATAACCCTGTAAGAAAACACGACATTGTTACGATGATATATAGTTTCTCCACGATAACCCTGTAAGAAAACACGACATTGTTACGATAATATATAGTTTCTCCACGATAACCCTGTAAGAAAACACGACATTGTTACGATAATGTATAGCTTATCCACGATAACCCTGTAAGAAAACACGACATTGTTACAATAACATTTAGTTTCCCCACGATAACCCTGTAAGAAAACACATTATTACAATAATATATGGTTTATCCACAATAACCCTGTAAGAAAACACGACATTGTTACGATAATATATAGTTTCTCCACGATAACCCTGTAAGAAAACACGACATTGTTACGATAATATATAGTTTCTCCACGATAACCCTGTAAGAAAACACGACATTGTTACGATAATATATAGCTTATCCACGATAACCCGGTAAAAAAAACCACATTATTACAATAATATATGGTTTATCCGCAATAACCCTGTAAGAAAACACATGTTACAATAATATATGGTTTATCCACAATAACCCTGTAAGACAACAAATTATTACAATAATATATGGTTTATCCACAATAACCCTGTAAGAAAACACGACATTGTTACGATAATATATAGTTTCTCCACGATAACCCTGTAAGAAAACACGACATTGTTACGATAATATATAGTTTCTCCACGATAACCCTGTAAGAAAACACGACATTGTTACGATAATATATAGCTTATCCACGATAACCCGGTAAAAAAAAACACATTATTACAATAATATATGGTTTATCCGCAATAACCCTGTAAGAAAACACATGTTACAATAATATATGGTTTATCCACAATAACCCTGTAAGACAACAAATTATTACAATAATATATGGTTTATCCACAATAACCCTGTAAGAAAACACATGTTACAATAATATATGGTTTATCCACAAGAACCTTGTAAGAAAACACATTGTTACAATATCATTTGTAAAGCTTGCATTATTGATAGTATTTACATTTTTGTACCTAATCACCAGTATAGAATAATCATATATGTAAAGTACACGCATTTTAGCTATGAAGATAATATCGACACTCAGAGAAAGGTCATATGCTTGTTTGAAGTATCTTTTAAACTCATCGAAGTATCCACCAATCATTATACTGGGTAGTTATCTGCCAGATCAGCAAAATGAATAACCAAACCTTTGTCAAAACGATAAGCATTTCACAAACATATACGTATATCTCATTTTCATTCTTTAACTCATAACATTCTTTCTTGGAATTAGACACAGCATACTATTAAACCATATATAATCAATCATTCTCTGCGACGGTCCTCTCGTATGTTATTCAATGAAAAAGTCACCAGCTACTTCAAGGTGATCCCGCCTCGGGATGACCCACTCTCTTTTACGATGAATCCATGAAATAAACAGTCCCTGATATTGCGGGATATCTATCAGTTCAGACGGTGTGTTCTATATGATAGTTTTGACACAATCTTGTGTTTTGTTGTTATGTTATTGTTCAGACAGAAATATGTTTGTAACGTTGTAGCAATAACATGAATAGAGAGTCTCACATGAGTTTTCGTTTGATATTTGAATTTCTAAAACGAGTCTTGAAATTTTTCATTGGCTAGATAAAATTATTTATCACGTGATCAATTTGCTAGCAGATATGATGTCAGTTCCGCTCTATGTCTATGATCTCTATAATTACGTCTCAAGTCTATTTGTGAATGTGTGACATCATTTAATAGTCTAAGGTGGTATCATAGTAAGCTTTATTACAGATGTGTAGTTTGCAAAAATATGGCATGGATATGTAAATTGTGTGAATTGAATAGCAAGGCAATCGTGTGACAAAGTTGTGATCACGTTGTAGATTCAACAGGTGTGTTTTACGTTATAGCTCTGGGACACCCATCACAATCCCGACCACGTGGAGGAATCTCTGAAGAAGTCACTCCGCGATCTCCAGACCGAATATGTTGACTTGTATCTTATACATTGGCCGTTTGCATTCAAGGTAACATAGAAAATACTGGAAGATTCCACTGTCGTTTTGGTTCGGGTTATTGTTAAACATCATATCAACAAAGACGGCCTCGTAGTGTATTGAGAGTTAAATACATGTGTTAAATGTGTGATTGGGGAGGGGGATGAATGAATCTGAAATATTTAATAATACGAAAAGAAAATCTTACAAATAAATAAGGGAAGAGACTGTTAATAATTCATTAATATTTATACTCCTAGGATGGAGATGAACTCTTCCCTAAAGATGCTGATGGTAATGTCATCTTTGCTGACCACGACTATGTTGATGTGTGGAAGGTGCGTATACATAACATACCTATATTGAAGTGTTGCGGACGGCACAAGTCTTTTCGTCTTCATGTTTTTATCTTACTGAAATTATTTGAGTATACGTGCGATGACACATGAAAACTCTAAATTATTTAATCGATTTGTAGTTTATTGTGTTTTTGTTTGATGACGCCCGTAGGTAAAACTGATAGAACATAAAAAAACAGGACACAGGGACTTGTTTTCGTTTATTTCAAGTTACGTTGACAGTCTATTTTCTTAACAAGACGTGCCTTGCTGGACCTAAAAGTGCACACTATGATTATTTGACTGGCAACGAATTACTCGCAGAATATGTCGTTGTTGCAAACATTCAAAGACCATCGTCATATACTCTTAACTTTGACGGTGTTTTCGTCAGGACAAACACGTAAAATTTTAGCAATTTTCCACACTCATGTCATTTATCTGATGAAACAACAATTTGTCCTGACGAAAACATCGTCAAAGTTAAGAGTATATGACGATGGTCTTTAAATGTTTGCAACAACGACATATTCTGCGAGTAATTCGTTGCCAGTCAAATAATCTTAGATGCATCAAATGTACTTTCGACCATCTCGATAAATGGGAAGTCGTGGGATAAGAGTAAAAAGTAAAACAGACTTACCGCGAAACGAGTGATACATCCGCCATCTTGTGACGTAGTTGCCCTACCGTGGAGTAGAGGACACTTTACACACGGAACTTGTCTTTTCCCCGTACTTTTGGAGGGTAACCGTATAAAGCTTTCCTTTGCTTTTCTCTATAGAACATTTCCCACTAGACATTAATACACCAAGAAATAGCACGAGGACACAGAAATTTAGACTCATTTCTATGACAACTTGTTTGACGTCCTGTTTTACTGTTTAGTTATCGAATTTGGTTCCTGTGGTGTATTTCCCGATTGTTGTAAAGACACGTTATAACAATATATCTATATTCAGGCGATGGAGAAACTCGTTGGAGCAGGATTAACTAAAGCAATAGGAATTTCCAACTTCAGCAAGAAACAGATAGAAAGAGTGCTAGAGGTCGCTACAGTAAAACCTTCTAATATTCAGGTATGTCTCTAGAGGCTTCACATTGTCGTTATAATATAATTCAATAACAACTGTATTGATGAAATCACGACTGTGGTTTTAGAAATTTCTTTGGTGACGCTGGATCATAAACATGATTAAATGTGTTCGCAATTATTACAATACGTTTTTTGACTGTATTGACTGCAATACATAAAACATCTATTTATTAAGATTGAAATCCATCCGTATTTCCTGAACGAGAAACTTGTTGCCTTCTGTAAACAAAATGGGATGACCGTCACAGCTTACGCTCCACTGGCGAACCCCAGCAGAACATGGTATGTATGTGCCTGTTGTGTATAGTTAAAGATTTTCTCTTTCCATATTGTTTCTCTGTCCGTAGCGGACAACACTTTTTTCATAGCAGGTTTAATATTTGAGGAGCAATTTTTTGTCCGTCACTTTGGCGAGGAAAATTTCATCACGGTGATAAAAAAGGTAGAAAAGCTTTAACGGGATTTCATTATTCTTCATCGAAATTTATCCATGATAAACCAGGAGAGGATTGAATAAGAATACTATTAATTGATCGCATCATTACTTATTATCATCGATTAGAATCTATTAACTTCGAAAATGCGACCAATTTCTCAAAATTAAATTCTCTTTCGTAATCATTGCATAAATTGTTTAAATCACGAGATTGCGGATGGAAGTTATCGCCTGGTCCCAAGTTTATCTATATAGATTATCTATATTATTTTTGTATTATTCTCGGTCGATAGTCAGAATTCCTCAAATTAATCTTAACGAACTATGCATGGGTTGGCACTATGGCAATGTTTTGTATGATTACAGCAGTGATAACAATGATTACAGCAGTGAAAACAATGCTTACAACAGTGATAACAATGATAACAGCAGTGATAACAATGATTACAACAGTGATAACAATGATAACAGCAGTGATAACAATGATTACAATGATAACAGCAGTGATAACAATGATTACAACAGTGATAACAATGATAACAGCAGTGATAACAATGATTACAATGATAACAGCAGTGATAACAATGATTACAACAGTGATAACAATGATAACAGCAGTGATAACAATGATTACAATGATTACAGCAGTGATAACAATGATTACAGCAGTGATAACAATGATTACAGCAGTGAAAACAATGATTACAGCAGTAATAACAATGATAACAGCAGTGATATCAATGATTACAGCAGTGAAAACAATGATTACAGCATTAATAACACTGATTACAGCAGTGAAAACAATGATTACAGCAGTAATAGCAATGATATCAATGATTACAGCAGTAATAACAATTATCACAGAAGTGAAATTGCTTTGACACATATGCAAATTAGTAAAACTATGTTTTGTTTTTCCCACATCAATATCTTCTGGAGGAAGAATATGCTTTTGAAATCTATTATTGAATTAATCTCACTTTATCATCGCCTTTGCAGGAAAAACGCAGAAGAACCTATCATTTTTGACGAGCAAGTTTTGAAAGACATATCATCCGCAAAGGGAAAATCTATTGCACAGGTAATAAAGACGTTATAAGCTGCTACAGTGAACGCAATCATATCATTCAGTCAATGAAATACTCGTTTAAATGTTTATAAATTCTTCAGTGCTTTTATGTATGGGGTTCGCATTACACGGAGTACAGGCTATTGTATATATTACGTTATATGTAACCTGTTGTGTTGGCTGTATATGGTCATTATGAAATAGTTTCAATAGAAATGTCTACTATACTTTCCAGTCGTTCAGGCGTGTTTATTTCCTTCACTGTGATTTCTATGTAACATTGATAAATAAATGACATGACCGGGTATGTTTATAATACATTTAATTGATGATTCCAGAAAAAATATAAACAGTACCCTGTAGTAGATATGTTGTATTACTATGTGCTTGTTAATTGGTGAAAATGTTTTCTATGAAATATTGTTTATTTCCATAAGCTTTTGTTAAACCTTTTGCCATAGCATTAAAAAAATATGGATTGACCTTATTGACATGTCGGTATTTCCTGTGAAGGTTTTGATAAGAAAAAAAAATATAAAGACAATATCAACATGGCAACATAATCATAATTCAAACTCAAATTCCATAAAACTGGGGCAAAATATGAACAAATGAAAGATTTTACTGGTGTAGAAGGAGCTCATGTTGTCAGCGAATTAAAGAAAGAGCTTAAAACGGTAGATTCTCGTGATATTTTGGATAAAGACTTAATAAAACTAACGGATGACTTAATGGTGCTGGTTACATGTACATAATTATGACATACTTGCAGGTTGTGTTAAGGTTCCACCTACAGAGGGGTATTGTCGTCATTCCCAAGAGTATAACTCCAGCCAGGATTAAAGAAAACTTTCAGGTTAGTGCCCAACTCAATTAATCCAATACTGACATCAGTTTCTAACGTTGGAGGTACTTTTTGTGAAACGAGTCACTTGGTTTGTTGAAAGGTAAACAGAGGTAAACAAAAGTTGCCGTTTATATGTAAATTATGCCATGTGTTTACATTTGTACAAATGTAATGTATCTATTTGTTAAAATACTTACACACAAAATTATATTAAATTTTATGACATTTTATGATAGGTGGCACCTACACCCATATATATATATATATATATATATATATATATATGGGCAGTTTGAGGCTCCCACGGGATACGCCAAACTCTAATGAAATATTGAATAATTTTCAAAGTAGTAGGTGCGAGAAAGAAGTATATTACCTGTATCTGAGCGAGAACGGGGTATCTCAGTCTCGGGCTTTGATCATGTAACATCCGGCGTCAGTCTGTCAACTTTTTCTACATATCACTACTAGTTATGAACGACTAAGCGTATGTTGACCAAATTTTGGTTAGAAACATCCATGAGGGGAGAGACATTTTCCCTCCGAATAAATGGTGGGTCTCAATCAACTGCGACGGGAGGGGCAGGACCCATTATAGGGGAAATTCAGCAAATTCTTAAAATTCCTAATCTTCCTGTAGGAATGATTGGAATTTGCTCAAAGTTTGTTTGAAACAGGGGCGTAGTGGGCGGGGCCCAATATTGGAAATATAGCGAATTATTTAAAATCCTACTTCTACTGTAGGGACGAGTAGAATTTGCCCAAATGTGGTTTGAAACATTGTTGAGTGAAGTGAAATCAGTTTTGTATAAAAGTTGTGTCTCGAGACCCTGGGGCAGGAGGGGCGGACCCTATAGGAGAAATAGAATAAATTCCTTCTGCTGTAGGATTGGCAGGATTGTTTTATGTTGTGTGCTTGGGTATTTAGAATTTCCCCGTTAGTTTGATGAAGCAATTTCAGGCAAACGAACCCGGATGAGCGATACATGCCCTATTGGCCTCTTGTTTTCTCATTAGACCCGTCTTGTCGGATCAATTACCGCGCACGATCTGTAATATGGAGGAATTGATGTTGAATAATTTTACCTCACACATCTTGACACGCCATGGACGAGTACGTCGCCAGGCACACCATTCAAGGAACGCCATTAATACTAAATTCCTCTTTTTTATCATATACAGTATATGTAATATAAAATTTGTATTTTTTTTTTCAGTTATACGACTTTGAACTTTCCGAATCTGAAATGCAACAGATAGCAGGATTAGATAGAAACATGCGTTTCTATAAAGAAGGAATGTAAGTAAATAGTCCGTTACAACACTTACACTAGTGGTACTGAACATTCACTCTGAATCAGTTACACTATCAGGCTTAAATTCTACAATTCTACAAAAGGTTTCCCCTGTGTGTCCCTTACCGTTCAGAACACCTGCCTGTCGAGTTTGATATGAAGCCAGTTGTGATTATATCAGGGAACTCTTACCGCCACCATCAAGATGTCCGATATCAACACTTCTAGATTATGTGTCTTCCAATTTATTTTAGTGTGTCTTTCGTTTATTCTCCCTCTCATATATATAATTTTATTTTTTGTAGCAGCTTTCGTTATAAAAAAAGAGTAAATACTTACTCACTCAATCTATATGTTCATGCAGATATTATATTATTTTAACGAAGATACACAATTAGTGAAAATAAAGATATTATTCTTATTTATAGTGATAGAAAATGCATACTAATATACCTTGTTTTATTACAGAGCCGCTAGTCACAAATATTATGGTTTCCACGACGAGTTCTAAGCCACGTGAAAAAACGATTGTTTGTACAACCAATCAAATAAACAGAAAAGACGTTTGATGTTATATAGTCAGTGGTACCATTACGTCATTTCCACCGAACGGGCATGCGGACCAATCAATATTGAATCCACTTTTCCTCACAAATGTGTCTGTATCCTCCTTTCTGTTATAGAATAAAAAAAAATTGAATATGATATGTGTTGTGATTTGTTTAAGTAATATTTTATCGTCAGGGATTACGCACACCAGACCATACATCCGTTTGAAACTGAAACCAAACTTCAACATTTCAGTACAAATATTGCCACTGTCGTTTTAAAGTGCATCTCCCATTCTAGATTTTGTCATTTCTTTCGATGAATTTTGTTCTGCATCAGTTGCTTAATAGATTACAAATTTAGGTTCTTACCGTAACTGACGTGTCCTAGAAGTACAAAACAGCGGTGAAACATACTTTGTACAGTTAAATTAATTATTATGTGATATATGTGTCAATAAAATGGCACCACGTTTTGTCAAACAACTATCCTCTCCACCCCCATCTTTGGCGATACCTAATTACAACATAAGACCGATTCACCCAATTATTGGGGTTACAATTTTTAAATGTTTAATGACGCATTACGCTTAAACATTAAAAAAACGTTTATCGCAAATGACCGAATGGTAACACGAAACACACGCATACAATGCAATTTAGACCGAATATTTAATTCTATCTTATAAATGTACATGTGTTCAAGGAGGATAAGTAGTTCGGATATAGAAAGGTGGTGGAAACAACGTGAAACAAAATAACCATATTTATGTACAGATGTATGTGTAGTGAAATGTGATTTTAATTTTTGTTCTCTGTACAACCTTCTACAAGTAGTCCTTTAGCTTGACAGAGGTTTAAACAAGCGGAGAGAACAAACACATTCCTTTAACCTTAGAAATAAGCACGTGAATTACCTGCATGGTGATATATTGTACAGGTGATGCATACAGTTTCAGCCTGGTTTTACTTTGATATCTAGTCCGTTCGTTTTTCCTGTTTATTGTCTCCTGTGCCAAGTACACTTATGCCTTAATGACAATGTACAATTAACTTGTCCTCACCTAGGACATCGAAAGAACCAATAATGGCGTCCTCATAACACCTGTGTCTATTTCCATTATAGATGTAAATTGGAAGTGAAATGTTTTCAGTCCAGGTTTGTTTTAATCAAAACGCTTTTGTTGAAACGGCATCAAAACAAATTAACATGATTTATAATACTGTTTCTGTTGAATTTTACAATCGAATCCCACATTTTTTGTATATAGTAGTATCTTTCAAGAATGAATAATATGTACTTGTTTTAGAACTTCGTCACCTAATGTTAACTACAGTAACATGTACAGAATACGTCAGTAACACGTGTCATGTAGGCAATCAAAGAGGTGCCAGATATATATATTACTTAAGTTTAGAAATGGTCTGTGTGTACATCATAACCTTTATCCGTGTTAAAGATCACAAGAACACATTGTATAGAAAAAATTGAAGAAAATCAAAATTTCGTTTTTTACTGTTCAGAAATACTAAAGAATTTATATGAGATAAACAGAAAATATAAGATAACAAGGATGGAAATTAATTTCAATCAGAGGAAATCGCACTTTATATAATAAATTATTTTTTTAACTTTACAAAGACAATCACTATTATTTAAAACCATTATTATGGTATTATACACCATCAATGGCGTTTGAAGAGCCTGGTATGTTTGAAGGATGTACTCCTGTGAGACGTTAAAGAAGTCCAGTATTAAACCCTTTTTTTCTGATGCACTTCATTTTCCAGTATAGACGTTAGCGTATGTGTAAAATGAAATAATTCATTTCCACATATTATTTTTTTAACACCCCCCCACCACTCTAACTCCCTGAATAACATATATTCTTAGTTATTTTTACGATGTCCTTTTTGAAATAGATTTTAGTCTTGTATTACAAAGTAAGGGTGTGCTGCTTGGATTTTAAGAAAAATTGAATGCGAAAATGCCATGTTTTCATTTGATGCAACGGGTTTTAAATAGCATAGAAACAAAAAAAGAGAAATTTTCTAAAATTACGTTAGTCTGACAATCTTCTATTATTCAATTTAAAAAAACTTTTCAGTTTTGATAGGAAAAAGTTTTTCCAAGATCACGAAATCGGCTGAAGCATTTATTTCCGGGTCCTAAAAACCTGGGTCACCAAGTCGGAATTCCCGAGTTTGAAATCGGTGATTTGTGGCGATCATTCATGCAAAATTTAGTTGAAATCTACCCACTACTTCTGGATTTATACTGAAGTGAAGTAACTTAGCAACTTAAGATTGTTGAAATTGTAGACACTATTAACCGAATCACGCCGTCAACTACGCCGTCCAAAATGTACTCCACGAGCGAAATTCTTTTAGACGTGATATAAATAGTCTGTTTTCAACTTGAAAGAACAACTAATATATAGCTGACAGAGCATATAAAAAGACATAAGTCTTAGATATTTTGTTGGCATTCATTTTATATTTAAGTAAGTCTTACTTCGGGTCTAAACCTCTAAGGAGTAGATAATTAAAAGTCAGGTATTTTTCTCCAAGTTAAAATTTGTTTTTAAATCATTTACAGTATATAGCCTATTCACATAGCCATTAAATGTACACGCAGATAACATCAGGAGCATCTTAGATAAAAAAAAAACGATGACAAAGCCATTATATATTCAAGAAGTTCATGAAAAGATAACGCATCATATTCATACACAGGGAGGGTGATGATAGCGGACAAACAGAGCAGAACATACACATCTACTTTGGTAATATCGGATATACTGACATGTCTTCCGGAGTTCCATTAACTGTTCCCATGCCAGGGAAACCTTATCCCACTGTGGGACTTGGCACGTTTACTTTATTAGGGAAAACCGTGAGTATATTGGGCCTCCGGTAACGGATACATGTACCCCCGTCCTTAAGACTACAAAGCTTGAAACGAGGACACCTGTCTATGTTAAATTGATGAGTAAGAAAAATTATACAAGTTCATGTATATATTAAGATTTTAGTTACTACGTATTACCTGGTAAATTATTAAACAATGCCATTGTTACTTCAAGGTGGATGTCACCATGTCACAGAGAGAATACATTAGTAGCAGCGATATATGTAGTGTTTCAGTCCTTAGTAACTGAGTGGGTCACCATCAGATCACATATCTTTGTCTTAATGTGGGTGTGTTATCAACATGATATACTCCAGCCTGGCGAGGTCTTAAGATATGAAAACATCACAGACAATCGAGGTCATGATATATAGAAGATCACGCCGAGAGAGAGAGAGACGAGTTCAGATAGTATCAAAACGTCATGAGAGGTGTGACCTTCAATTTGGAGGCGCTTTGCTCAAGTTTTGATTGTTCTGCTCTACTTTGCTCGATAGTATAGTGAGGACATTTAGTGATGTACCTAAGCACAGGTCAAACAATGGGGAATACGGTATGCGAATAGAAAGAAACTACCACCAGAATCATAATTCAAACTCTTATTTTACAAATCTCTCTTCCCATTGTGCGATACAGTCACCTCCCCTCAGACTTATTTTCGCCGGTAAAATACATTAACTTCCCACAAACTCACTTTCTCTTGTGAAATACATTTTTTTTCCACCAAACTCACATTCCTTTGTGATGTACACTAACTTTCCACAAACTCACTTTCTCTTGTGAAATATATTTTTTTCACCAAACTCACATTCCCTTGTGATGTACACTAACTTTCCACAAACTCACTTTCTCTTGTGAAATATATTTTTTCACCAAACTCACATTCCCTTGTGATGTACACTAACTTTCCACAAACTCACTTTCTCTTGTGAAATACATTTTTTTCACCAAACTTACTTCTCTTGTGATGTACACTAACTTTCCACAAACTCACTTACCCTTGTGAGATACATTAACTTTCTCCAAACTCACTCCCCACTGTGAGATTAAGTATCCTACTCCAAACTCACTCCCCCTGGTGAAAGTACCCACCTCCAAAGTCAGAGAACGTGTAGACTATTTTTCCCATTTCTTCTTAAACTGTCTTTAAATTGTCGAAGGTAACATCTTCACCTTTATGAATATATACGATTCATTTTGAATTTATTGTGGATACTTACAATGCTGACGAGTTTCTGTGATCTGACAGGTGATAACAGTTGGATTTCTAATTATATGCATTGCTTTCACGACATACGTCCACATTTAAAAGGGTGCTTCCGAGGAAGTAGCCAATGCGGTCAAGGTCGCCATTGCTGAAGGTTATCGCCACGTGGATTGCGCGTTCGTTTACGGTAATGAGAAGGCAGTTGGGGACGCTATAAAGGCAAAAATCGAAGACGGAACAATTACCCGGAACGACATCTACATCACCACCAAGGTAGGTGACGTCAGAACAGTATTGTTTCCGGTTATCAATTGTTTCGTTTTGTCGCACAATTGACAATGAGTAATATCAAAACAATATGTTACCTCCTTAACACTGATTTTTTTTTTTTTTTTTGGGGGGGGGGGGGGGGGGGGGGGGGGGGAGTTGGGGGGGGGGTTACTCCAATGCAGAAATATTGGGCGGTACTTCCTCAAGAGTCTACAATTTTGTGTATATATGACAGAGACAAAGACGGGCGGACGGGCGGACACACGGAGGGGAGAAAATCAGATAGACTGAGACAGCAAGAGACAGAGAGAAATAATGCAGGGAATATGAACATGTAAAACACCTGACCTAAACGGACAATTTTATAAGACATTTATAATTCTATAACTCGTCTATCTGCTAAACTACACAAGAGATCCAAACTGACTGCTGTGACGGGAACATCCAGTCACATTCATTTTAATAATTCATAGACTGATGATCTTAAGAAAAAAGTTTTGATAATTCCTAAGAAGCATTCGAAATAGAATGTAGACGTAACATGAAATCACAATTCAAACAGGTGCTCGTCCGTCCTCATTCCCTCAATAAACTACCATTTGAAACGCTGTATTTCAAGGATGTTACCATCTGTTCCCATTCGAATTTATTTTCCATTTAACTAAATCTTCAGTATCTTAGATATTCATTCAGTGAGTGCTGACTATTATTTTTAATGGGCAAATCGTTCACGCATCAATCATTAATGAACATATAAAAGAAGTGTTTTGGTTGGCATAACACCATGATGACATCACTCTTCACGAAATGACTGAATGGGTGTGGTGTAACATAACACCTTAATTCAGTGAACATTTCAGTAATATTGCAAAGATTAACAAAATAGCTTTTATATTCTGCATTCTCGTCATAGGAATAAAAATATGATATGCCAGCTAAACAATTGTGACATAGTTGACAATGACGTCACTTCTGACTACTACAGTTCAAAGTTCAGATTAGAAATGGGGTTCCAAACCATAAAACATCACTAAAGTTTTGCTTTACTTTGTAGATATGGAATACATATCACAATCCTGAACACGTGGAGGAAGCTCTGAGGAAGTCACTCCGTGGTCTCCAGACCGATTGCGTCGACCTTTATCTCATGCACTGGCCGTTTGCATATAAGGTAACATGGGCTCGCTCTACAAAGTGGGACGGAACAAAGGGAGACGTCGCAGTTCAGTCGATGAATGTCTGAGAATATTTTTCAGTCTTGTGGTCATCCAACTTCATATCAACCATATGTAATCAACCATAACTATTATTATAATGTGTGATAAGAATGAAATAGGTAAAGGTTTTCACAAAAACAATATTTATATCCGTTTCAGGACGGAGATAACTTGTTTCCACAAGATGCCGAAGGGAATTTCCTCTTCGCTGATCACGATTATGTCGATACATGGAAGGTAGGTTCATGTACCTGTTACTGTGTCATTCATTATATTGTGAATGCAACTTGATTAGCAATAGGTTAAACATGATTATGTTTTCATCAATGTAGTACAAGAGTGCTGCGTGTCATAAAAAGAGAATAGTGTACATTTGTATGATAGTGTTACTACATGTCTCGTTTCGTGACATTTAAGATCTCTCTCAATGTCAGAATTGTTCATATTATCAGGCTATGGAAAAACTAGTTGGAACAGGATTAACTAAAGCAATAGGACTTTCCAACTTCAACAAGAAACAGATAGAAAGAGTGCTAGAGGTCGCTACAGTAAAACCTTCAAATATACAGGTATGTTTAAACTCTGTGTAAAATTCTGTTACTGCTATCAGTGTTAAATATATCAAACAAACCAACAATTAACCATACTGAATTAAAGTGAATGAAAACTTCCTACTCGAGAACGATGATGATATTACTGTTGGCATTATACACACAAACACCAATGAAATATTATGACGTGTTGTTTCAAAGAAATTTAAGTTACTGCAATGTTCTCAAAAAATGAATATATCAAATGTCTGTTTTGCATGAGTATAAACATAATTATAGATAGAAATGCTATCTTCCTGTTTCCTACAATGATGCATTATTTGTCTGTATTCTAATTCTGATTTAATTTTGAAAGGCAATAGTCACATGTTTCTCTTGTTTACTCTCGTTTATTTAGATTGAAATACATCCCTATTTCTTGAACGAGGAACTGGTTTCTTTCTGTCAATTAAATGGGATGACGGTTACAGCGTACGCTCCACTGGCTAACCCCAGCCGAGTACTGTATGTGTATACTGATAATATGATGTGTCTATTTGAGACATCATTGTATGCTATAATCACTTCTTATAAACCATTTTATCCCACGCGTCGACAAGATGAATTGTAACAAACTACGGACATTCTTGTTAAACTTTCATAACTAAAGTGTAATGTTGAATAGATTACAAATTTGTCATTTCTTCAACTGTAGAAATCACGACAGCACATAGTCAAATGTCAAAGAGTAACATTGTCCTTGTTATAGTGTTCGTTTTGAATGACGATATTCATATTTGACTGTGGAAATATAAATGTCATTAATTTGTTATCAAATTGATTATTTTGGTTAATGTTTTTCGTAAATATCATGGATGTACATACACGAACGACAAAAATACTATCCTCAATTTTACAGGGAGTCGGAACCGAACATATTTGAAGAACCAATTTTAAAAGACATTTCGGCCGCCAAGGGAAAATCTATTGCTCAGGTAATGATTATTAAAGAGGAGTTATCTCCCCTTTGTCACCATTTAAACTTATTACTGACAACTATTCCTCGTTTGAATTAACATATAACAGAAAATAGTAATGCAACTTTACTTCATTTGAAAGCGTTGATCTGAATTTTGATTTATCAACATATTGATGATAAAAAAAATATTCGTGATTAGTGGCATTGTGGCAAACATTTAATAATTTATATGTGATTTGGAACGAAAGGAGAAATGTAGCTCATCATCTAATAAATTAACATAAAATCTCAGAATAAAGAAAAAAGAAAGTTTCATGAGGAACGATTCTAATCAGCTTTAGAACCACAACATTATCGCTAATGGAATGTGTACGGGCGAAAACATTTGATAACATTTTGAATAAGGCTATATACAAATGATAATAACATATGATAACATTTTGAATAAGGTTATATACAAATGATAATAACATTTGATAACATTGTGAATAAGGCTATATACTATTGATAATAACATTTGCTATATATACAAATGATAATAACATTTGATAACATTGTGAATAAGGCTATATACAATTGATAATAACATTTGATAACATTGTGAATAAGGCTATATACAAATGATAATAACATTTGATAACATTGTGAATAAGGCTATATACAAATGATAATAACATTTGATAACATTGTGAGAAAGGCTATATACAATTGATAATAACATTTGATAACATTGTGAGAAAGGCTATATACAATTGATAATAACATTTGATAACATTGTGAGAAAGGCTATATACAATTGATAATAACATTTGATAACATTGTGAGAAAGGCTATATACAATTGATAATCACATTTGATAACATTGTGAGAAAGGCTATATACAATTGATAATAACATTTGATAACATTGTGAGAAAGGCTATATACAATTGATAATAACATTTGATAACATTGTGAGAAAGGCTATATACAATTGATAATAACATTTGATAACATTGTGAGAAAGGCTATATACAATTGATAATAACATTTGATAACATTGTGAGAAAGGCTATATACAATTGATAATCACATTTGATAACATTGTGAGAAAGGCTATATACAAATGATAATAACATTTGATAACATTGTGAGAAAGGCTATATACAATTGATAATAACATTTGATAACATTGTGAGAAAGGCTATATACAATTGATAATAACATTTGATAACATTGTGAGAAAGGCTATATACAAATGATAATAACATTTGATAACATTGTGAGAAAGGCTATATACAATTGATAATAACATTTGATAACATTGTGAGAAAGGCTATATACAAATGATAATAACATTTGATAATATTGTGAGAAAGGCTATATACAAATGATAATAACATTTGATAATATTGTGAGAAAGGCTATATACAAATGATAATAACATTTGATAATATTGTGAGAAAGGCTATATACAATTGATAATAACATTTGATAACATTGTGAGAAAGGCTATATACAAATGATAATAACATTCTTACAGGTAGTGCTAAGGTTCCTCCTACAAAGAGGTGTCGTTGTCATCCCGAAAAGTATCAATCAAGCCAGGATCAAAGAAAATAAACAGGTATGTAACCTACTTAAAGATTTGTTTGTGGGTCGGTAGCTCTAGAACTAAATGTCTGGTAGGAACTTTTGACTTAAACTTGTCTTTATTTTATCAAATGTATATCGTAGGGGATAGGGCGCAAATTTTCTAAAACTCCAAGTTTCTCTCAAAAATAATATACAGCGCCTTAATATTTACAGAAGATAACACAAATCTGTAGATTAAACAAACTATTTGATAATTGATATATTTAGGTTGGGTAGATATGGGATGCAAAGATATTAAGAAATATATATAGAGGTTAGTGGTGGGGGGAGTGGAGGTCTCCTTCGTGTTCAATCTTTGAAGAATAGTAACTAAACTTTTGAATAATTTAATGAATTATGTTTAAGGATGAGTGAGTGAATTTTTCCCGACTCACCAGGCACTAGTTAACACTCCCCTATTCCATTCATTCGACTTTTCACAGTTCATAATTCTTTCCTTGAGTTGCTTTCTCCTGAAACTTCAAGCAAGTTTAAAAACTACTATATGAATGATTTTCATTCTAGTTTTCATTCAATGTAAATAGTATATATGTTTCTATAAATATATATATATATATATATGATCAATGTAAGTAATAACGACAGTATGGACAAGTAAATTGTCAAATTTTCGAGGCAATTTGGCCCTTCATCAAGACACAAATACTACATAAGTTACATCACATACATAGGACATAAAACAGATACAAAGTTATAAACTAAAATTGAGAACGATAGTGTAATTTTTTTGTAATGTTTGTAATTCCTTGTCGTTACCTTTCGAGTTAATGGTGAGTTACTTTCCCTTACTTAACGTATTTGTCATAGGTATTTACCTTAACATTTCAGCTCAGATACTTCTATGGTGTAATCTGTACTGTTTAGGTACTTCCCTCGTGTAACCTGTACTGTTTAGATACTCCCCTCCCCCCCTCTCTCTCTCGTTATATGTTGTGACTTTCTCCTCATTCGCTATATAACGTCCAAGGGGGGATTTTCCCTAATGTTACCTGTAACGTTCAAGTTTCACTTACGGTCCTTTCTCAACAAAAAACAGTGTCTTGATGTATGGTACATTTACTACCCAATAAATACACGAGACAGCGGAGAACAAATACCAGAGATAGTAACTGAAACACGAGACGTCTTGATATTTTTCAGTTATTCGACTTTGATCTGACCGAGTCTGAGATGCAACAAGTGGCAGGGTTAAACCGAAATTTCCGCCTCTTCAGGGAAGAGATGTAAGTTACTCTACTGTTACAGTAACAATGATGTTCTATTGTTTATAAATTACAAAAATACATTATAAGTTTCATTTCATTGCAGGGCGATACGTCACAAACACTACGCTTTCTAATAGGTTTGAAGCGCTCCCAAGACAAACAACGACCAATCATACCCGGAAATGTTGATGACGATCATCAAAAACAACTAATGAGAATGCTGACGAAAACAACAAATTCTGTCTCGACTTTCTGTTACAATATCACTAACTTAGTTTTTTTTTATTTCTGACATTTTTTTCTGTGATTTGGTTGGTAAACATACAAATTGTATTGCCCCCTGTACAGAAAAGTTTTCCAATTGCAATATAAACATTTACAATAGCGATGACCAACTCAAATGCGTATTTCAGGTAAGATAAACTGTATTGAACAAGAGATACATTTTGGATAAACAAGTTCGATGTTAAACAACGGAGTGATTTGGCATTCATATAATTTATGTACCTCTGGCTTGTATATGCAGATTCTTTCGGAAACTCTTTTTCAGGTTAAGTGTCGGTGACCCCTGCTGAAAACAGTATTTCATTGTACATTTCGATGGAAGTCCTGTCTCCTTGACTCTTCTTTCTCCCTCCTACTAAACAATTGTTGGCAGAAATGCCAACAAAGTAATAGACATGCAAGTGTAATTCAAACACCATACCAATGTTGTTGAAGTTCACAAAGCAGTATATTTACCCTGTCAAAACACTTAATGTTCTAGAAGCAATTGGCCTGTTTTGACCACATTCCAGTAGACTAACGAATTGTTTCGATATGACATCGGACAAACTTGATTTTTCTAGCCGATAAATAAAACAAATATGACGTGTCTATGATTTTGACTTCATTTTCTAAAAATTATCAATTCAAAGTCTTCTGTTTTGATATATTTATGTACTTAATTCCCTTTGTCAAAACTATTTGGGTCTTAATAAAACAATTCAGTGATGATCTCCAAGGCAAATAACAATGCTTATCGTTTGTTAAAATATTACACTTTGTAGGTATTCTGCTCATGGTCAAGTTAAAGTCTTCCATCTTATATTCATTACCGTCGATTTGAATCACAAGCGACTTCCGTATATTCACAGCTATTGACAATGTTATAAATATTTAAATTTTATTTTACTTTTGACCAAATCGTTTGTGATGTGTAGTTAAATAAATCAGAAAGACTCTTGTTATTGAGTGTCCTGACTATGGGTCTAGGTCACCAGGTGCACATAGTTTTGAAATTTAATAGAAACAATAACTCGTGTGCATAGATTAAATTTTCTTGGTTAAGGAAATGTCATTTTAATCCGATTCAACCCTAGACGAACCTAATAGATATGTGATCATGTTACGAAGTTACCGGGAAGTTCACTTAATTTCAGCTTAATTTCATTAGTAAGTCAATCTTTAAAAATTGTAATAAAATAATTTGAGAAGAAATGGAATATTGTTGAGCTTTGTTGGAAAATATGACTTCGCGTACTAGTAGTGCAAGAATATAAAGCTTTGCTGAGAATGATTTAATTCGGGAAAACTTGAAACTCAAGTAAACCCTAGTATATATATATATATGAAATACAGGTAAATACGCATGTTCGGATTACGAAATGTGAGTCAAAATATATCCTGACATGCGAGTGAACATTGGTAAGAATGCTGTTAATGCTGGGTTCTAGAAATCAGTTATCAATTACCAGGTACACATTCACAATATTACGTATTATTCAGAGTCACAACAGTTCTGATAATTATGAAGATTCCGAGAAAACTTTCCATAAGTCAGTAAATCTCCTTACAGTTGAATGCGATCTCAATGTATGATCGTATCTGTATAAAACAAGGGTAGTGTAGACTTATGGGACACAAAATACCTTCATCACAACAAAAGTTAAACTGAAAGTCCAAATCAATGAACAAAAGTCAACGTATGACCAAAATCAGGATGTACAAAAGATCTATGAAAAAGGAGAAAAGGTAAAATGTTTCAGAAGGTAACGCATGTCTTCATTAACAACTCTCACCATTTGTTGATATAAATTACAAAATACCATAACTGTCTCATGCACGAGAAAGACCATTCTTGCACTTATAAAGAAATACGGAAAATTCTGTTTTTGTTGTCATTCTCAACGTCAATCTACATATAAAATTTAAGGAAGTAATCCACAAAAATCTCTTATGAACAAGACATTTTCACAAGTTGGGCGTGTTTCTATGAGTGAGAGGGTGTGTGTGTGTGGATATCTTAAGGCAGGGGTGCTTGTATTGTATACATAAAAATATTCAGTGGATTACTCCTTTATGAGATGATATTTTTATAGAACATCGTCATGACTATATATAATTCGTGTTTAATTGTTACTCTCAAAGTCAAACATTAAACCAGAAACTTACAAAAAAAAAAAAAAAAAAAACAGCGCGTCAAATGTCTGTTGGTATGTAGTATGCGATTAATAGACACGTTTTATTACACAGTATCCAATTCGATCACCCATGCAATAGTTATAAATCTGTCACTTGTGTAATGTACCCTTATGCGTTTTTCATTTGCTGTAGCAATTAGAATTCAAGTGTGATGTCGTAATATATGATAACATTATGAAAGGGAACTGGTGCAACAAAATGGCTGTCTCCGTTTGATTTTTCATCTATAATTTGACTTTAAAACATGTCAAAATGTATTTTTCTCTCCGAGTAATGTAATAAAAAGTATCTTAAATATTCTTTTATTTCAAATGAGACGAGTTGAAACTCCTCTTGAAGTTTGCATTTTTAACTATTCGTTTCATAAACTTGATACATCAGTGTAATTACAAAGGTAGGGCGGTAGAGGTTTTATTGAATCTATAAATCAGAAAAAAGTCACAATGGCTCGTCTCGTCCAACAAAATGTCTGTACAGATGTACTGTAAGACGAGTATCGAGAATTGTACATAAAAAATAATTGAATTATGGGATTGGTGTACTTCTCCATTTTAAATTGTCATCGATCACTTTGGATTTTCTTCAGTCTCCTCCCAGGCATTACAAATCAAGTTCTAGAGGGACTGATGATGCAGTATGATGCAGATTAATTCATTATTTGGCTCTATTCTATCTAATTCTAAGGTTTCATTCACTCGTGTGTATTTTGTACCATCTTTTTATCGAGTGAAAAAGAACGACGAAAGGAGAAAGCAAATGAAAATGTTTGCGTCAATATAATATATATATAGTAAAGGCATGTTGAACTAATTTACTGTCTAAACTTTGAATTCGTCCTTCAGATATTTCATGAAGCTCATTATGTTCATCATGCTGGTTACTTGTTTTAACAAAAATAATAATAATATGAAAATAAAAAGCTTAAAACGTCAGAAATCCAGGAGGATTATTCTTTTCTCAAACGGTACTTTGGTTTATACTTTGAAAGACCATTAGCAACCAATTATGATGACATTACAAATGCAACAAGACATATTTGGAGTAGGACGTCATACCTGGTTTTAACCACGGCATTTTCTGAACATGCTATTTAAACTGAAATTTCTCACAGAGGAACTATAGCGAGTGGAGGGGAATCATATGAAGTTTTTTTTTATAGTGTTACCCTACAGCCCCGTCAGGAACATGACACAGCACGAGTACAGGCAACCGGATATAGTTAGGAAGCAAGCCCATACTATGGAATCATATAATTTATTTACAGGATATTTTTGCGCAAAAAATAATTCTGGATGTCAAGTTAGTATTTAAGTGGTCACTGTTTCAAGAATCTGCACGACGTCAAAACGAAGTCGCACTAGATTTGTCATTGCTTATATCGTCAATTTTTCGTTGCGTGCAAAAAAGTCCCTTCAAATTATTCTATACTAAACGATGACGTAGAATAAGATTCATATACCTATCTCAGCATATCCGTATTTTTTCAGGTACTGGGTTTTAAGTGTCTTCAGGGACCGATACCTCTGTATTCAAATCAAATGCCACTTGCAAGTTGAAAGAACACTGAAGAATGCAGGCATGTTGGTTTTAAATATATCTTAAAATATATGCAACTATTAAATATATGCTATGCTTTAAACTATGACTATTTCAGTATTATCTTGATTAGAATGTCGCATAAGAAACAACGCGGCAACCTAGCATTGTTGTCTAACACTACTGAAAAGATGCTGACTTTTCCGCACACAAAACATAACAGCTCTTTTTTTAAAGTTAATACAAGAGGCCCAATGGGCCTGCATCGCCCAGCTGTTTTTCCATTGACATTGAGTTGTGTAACATTGAATAGTTACAAGTTTCGACTACCTGTTAAGAATTCAAAACAGTTTACCTCGTAATGTTGAATAATCTTGTGCATTTCGACAAATTTGGAAACCATCATAACAGCATGTTATTGGCGAAATATCAATATCTAAGGCTTTCTGGTTAATAAGAATAAGTTGTTTTCAACCCATTTGACTAGGGTGACGTTGAATACGGATCGACATAGCTGTTCATTGGAACAATTAATGCTGTGATGATTTTGTAAATTGTCAGCATAACATTAAGATAGGGACTCTGGGTGGATGGCAAAAGTGGGAGCATGCACAGTATAAAGGTTTTAATTGTAATGTTATGGTCCAGGAATTATTTCAGAGGAAAGACTGAATTGAGTACAAGGCCTATCCTCAGTATGAACAAAAACATACAATTCAACTGTTTATTATTAGGTGGAGAATGGGGTAGATTGAGAAAATCACCTTGAAGCTGGGTCAAGGTCATTAATTAAGGTCCATTAATTTGGACAAACTTTTTAGCCCTTCATCCCAGCACGATACAAGCCAAATAACAGTACCGTGGGCCTTTCAGTTAAAAGGAAGAAAATCTTTCACGATTTTAACACATTTTAACAATTTTGGTAGACCTTTGTACCAATATACTAAAGGCCCAATGTTATTTCCATTTGCCTTTCCCTTACTGAGAAGAAATCGTTTGAAGATTGTTTAACACATTTGATTCTGCCTTTCGGTAACTAAAAAGTAATTTGACGATTTTCATATTTGACACATGTGAACTTGAACGTTTGTCAAGGTCTTTAATTTAAACAAACTTTATGACCCTCCATCCCTGCTTGTTACAGGCCCAATATCAATATGAGTAACTGTATGTTCTCAAATGAGAACCATGCTAGCAACAACGATTATATCGGGAGTACTAACGAATACCTACTTCATGTTCGACAAAGAAAATGTGCATCATAAAAAATTGGTATTTCCGTCACTTAAGTTGGAGTTACTATTGATTAGTTCACTTCGTCATTATCACATAGAAAATAAGACGCGTGCAAAAATCATTAATTAAGGTTACCCAACATAGGTGAACTGAACTCAGTACTTGGTTTGTATGGTATGTAATGTATTAGCAAGTAATAAAAGGATGCCGTTTACACGATATTATGTGTATCAGGTGTGAAAGGAGAAATATAAAAATATAAAACAAACTAAAATATACCGTACCTACATTGATACCTGCTTTCTCCAACTCAAACCGTCAAGTACCCATCTATTGGTCAAGATAGATAACAAGGCGTTTCCGAGCTATCTATGTTCACTTCCATAAACATTAATAGTTCAATGTCCCTTTTTAGGATATAACGAAGACTTCATGTTAAACTGGCGCTACTCTGGATTTCATATTGAAGACGTGATCCAGTATGAATTTGAAGGTTTAATCAATGTCACCAGTAAAAATGGACAGAGAAACTTGTCAGCTTATGGTGTTTTATGGATCATCCTGAAACTTATATATAGTGTCTTCAGCAGTAACAAATATATTTCACAAGTGTTTCTAATGTTTTAGTATCTTTTACGAGTGCGCAGCACTTCTATTTATTTACATTTTCACAAGCAAAATTGCTATATCACTGGCATATTTATAAATAGATGGAGCTGACTAGCCATTTCGCAGACACTACTCACTCATTATAACTTCGCGTCAAAACATAGTTAGCTTGTGATAAATTATTTCAAACATGATACAAAAAAAAATTTCAAAGTATATCTATTTTTATATTCACATAGATAATGTTACTTATCCATGTCAACATTAGGCAATATGTGCAAAATATCTATCTTTTCCCTTCTTTTTGCGACAGATAATTATCATATATATCAACTTTACAACACTCCGGCTAAAGGAAATGTAGTCCTTTGTCTGAGTGCAAACAAATGCCCGTAAGTTTTCACTCATATATTCCAGTTTTCGTTGAGAGACTTGCAAAATAGCCAGCAAACATCAGTGTAAACATGTTTTATTAGAATAGTTAAATACATTACATCAATAATTATTTATAATTTACAAAGATAATGTTAAACTCTACAATTAAATATTAAATATTCAACTAAGTTATCTCATTCCATTGTCATTTAGTCAACTGATTGATAATTGGTAACGATATAATTTTTATGGTATACTATAGCATTTACATGACATTTAAGGATGCCTTTTTCAAAATATAATGGAATTCTGTGTACAGGATGCTCAAAACGAATTATGAAAATAGCCTTCATTACTGCAGACGATCAATTGTATCGATCACAGAGTCTTTCACTAATGTTTGTTTTAGATTGTAATTAAACGCAACTTAACATTATGGATCCCGAGAGTTGTTTCATCAATGGAACAGTAACAGGTCCAGCAGGTCTTTCCAAGTTCTTAACCCTTAACAAACTATCCATCTACTATGACTACTGACATTTCTTATGTGTGAATATTGACATTTTCTACGAGCAAGAAACCAAGGAAAAAGCATTTCAGTTACAAAGACATGATGCATGAATATTAGACATATGTATAACATTCGCAACGTATTGATCGACACGGATACGAGAGCTTAATTTCGTTAAAAATGACACTTGATTTTAACAAGAAACTACATTTCATATTTGGATACCGTACAGATCAAATGAATGGCCCCAAAATACAACGTACAATATGTAGTTCCATATGAGGTTCAGTTAATTTCCATGTCCTATTGATTTATACCTTGGCCAATGAATATGTTATTATAGTGAGAACAATCTGTGGAGTCTTCCGACTTTATGAGTTTACTTTTACAATGTAGACATAATGGTATTATTTCATGGTTTTTACATTAAACGATATTTCATTTTAACAACGGAATCCATGATCATGTCAAATTGGTTGTACATTTGTGTATTCGATGACATTTGTGCGCCTTGTTTTAATGTCTCACACAATATTATTATTAAATCTGTCAGACAGACTAGCAACGACAGGCGAAATCATCTCTATTGCTCTTCCGGCTACCAAAAAACATGGCTAATGTTGAGACACGATGCCCTTCAGTTGATAGCCACCCGGGATCCTCGGAATCATACATAACTATAATTCTGTTTCACAATAATATTACGAACACAATAGATAGTTATTTATTTCCAGTACTTGCTCGCTGAAGACTGACTGGGAAGTTGTTCTATACTACTATGATTCAATCCTTTTCTATAGTAAAATGCTGTACTAAATGGCTGTTCCATTTTCGTAAACCCAATTCTTTCATGTAATGCCACCGATACCGAGTTTCCGTCATCTATACCGGCCATACAGCATCCATCCTGAGCTATCATTTTCTGTGTTAGAGCTACAGTTATGTATTTCCCTAACTTTTTATCCCTGTGTTCCGGAATGACGTATGTCATTCCCAACAATCCAGTGATGTGCTGTAATGTCCAGGCCACCAGCTGGCCGGATGAGTCTTCGATACCAACACTTAGACCCTCAAGCAGTAACATGCGCTTTACGCTCTTGACATAGTCAAAATCTTTGTACCACACACCCGTTATAATTGTTTCATAATCTTCTGATCGGAGACTTCTTACGGAATATCCTTGTGGTAGGTCACTGAAAGGAGTAAATATATATTCAAAGGATGTGACACTTTTTTGCGAGTAACCTATACGGCATTTTATCAGTTTGACAAAAATGACCACACATATATATATGATTTTACTTGTAATACATCCTCGACACTCCACGGGTTACGATCACATTCGCTCTCTGCACCTCTACAAAATGTCATGCCGAAATCAAAGGTTCCATTTGCCGACACTTTGTGGCAAAGACGAAAAGACTAGTTTGATTCATTGATGTATATCAAACGAATTTCGGGGTCGCATAACGATAAATGGTAATGGCTTAGAAGTTTGTAATCTTCAAAAGGAGCATATCAGTTTGTTTTTAGCCAGTGTTTTTTTCTCCTGGAACCAATCAAATTACTTCGTTTGTGCTTTCAAATCAACCATGACATGTTCCAGGGGTGCAGAGAGCGAAATTGATTGTAACCTCTGCAAAGAACACATTGTAACAAATGCATAAATCGATTGCAAATTTTACATAATCAAATCTCAAATATGAATGTTTCTTCATTCCTAAGGTACATATATTTGCTATGTGTTTCATTTCACCAACACTAACACTTTTATCCACAGAGAGCAATATTGCCTATTTTCCTTTTTTCTCATTTAGGAAGGTTTTCCATGGCGGGTGTCATCTATAATGCAAAAGATGTTTACCCTTCCGGAACGCCTAGTTTTATTGTCTTTATGATTTCCACGGGACAATGTTTACTAATTTGACATTAAAGATTCTGTTGACAAGTCGGTTTGATTGAAACGTACGAGTCAAAGAAAGCAATTATGTCGTGAATACTCATACTGAATCCATCAATCTGAATTCCAGTGTCCACTAGAAATATTTAAATAATTAATAAACAACAAAACACCTCATTATTTGTGCAAATATTGTTATAACTTCCCCACAACTATTGGTGTACTTGTTCCTTTCGAATCAAATGTGATGGCAGTCTAAATACCTATCAAGTGACTACACGCAAAGTGAATCCGCAACTCCACTTTAATGTCGGGGCTACATAAGGGCCAGAAAGCGCGTACCTTAATTGAGTGCCATATGCAATATTCTAGCATTTGATTGTGTTCGCTGCAAAGAATAGCTTATAACACTTGTTAAAGATTACTTTGAAATAAATTTGTAGTGTACACAGCAAAACATTTGTAAAAAAAAAAAGAAAAAAAAAGAATTAGGTAAAGTGTAATAGCAGAAATAAAAAACACGGTTATGATTGGTCAGAAATATAGATACATGTACATCTCTGGGGAAGATGTGTTGTCGCTAGTGATGACCAAATATATTGCATGATAATAATGTACATATTACCATTAATGTTGATTTTCATTATTCTATAGATGACAATACACAACGTTTCATTCCATGTCTTAATTTTACATTTCCTACCGAGTTGAGAAAAAATTAATTGTTGACATTTGACAAAAAGGGCTTTGTTAGCAATGATGATACTCAAAAAAATCAATCTGATCTCTCTCAAAAAATCTACCTCTGTGAAATGATAAAAAAATGCTCCAACTTGTTGTTTAACTCGTAGGTTGACCAACCAATTGCTAACCCTAACTAAGTTTTGGGCAACTGGAGTCAACTTTGAAATTCATTCTATTTCAAAGGTGAAAGAATCAAGTAATGTTCTCTGCTACATATTCGGATAGATACTTGCTTTATCTTTCTATTTAGAAAGTCCGTCCGCTACTTTTTACTGTCATAAATGAATAATGAAAAAATAACTTTCATATCATTAGTGTCATCATGTCAACAAAATCGCAATTCATATTCAGAATCGAAGAAACAAGCTCTCATTGTGTACAAAATAATGACTTGCAGAGTAACTCTTTGGGATATACAAGTCGAATAAAACAAGGTATTGTGGAATGTTTTTCGTCCTAAATTTCTCTAGAAAAAGCTCGTCATTGCACACTCGGTACATTCATAAACTATCGTGTAAAAGGAATAGAGCTGGGCAGTTGCGAATTTATAGAGAATACCAAAATGTATGGAGCAATGACAGAAAAGAAAACGATGTCGACATCTTTCCGATAGTTCAAAGCATTTTAATATGATATGCATTGGTAGGCACAGCAAATAAATGTGAAAATATCCTGTCCATAAACACCAATTCCAACATTTTAACAAGTAAATTTGACCCATAGCTTCCATTGTAAAGCCATACATTGAAGGTCTGATAAAGCATGACACAAATTAGAAATACTGAATATGAAGATACAATAGTTATGCAAATAAAAAATCATGTACTTCTGTAAACATTTTCAGAAATGTATCTATTTGATTTGTCAGCAAAGTGTATATATCGCAGAAGATGATTATGCAACTTATTCTAGCTCGTGATCTATAATATGATGTGCATATTTCATGTAGGTATTACCAATCAACTGATCAATAGAATTGGAAGCGTCATATATAACAGTGTACAATATATATTGAAAAACGAACGTTACCTTGATCAAGGTGATATTAAGTTAAGATAGATATTTTGGATGTGTTAAATATTTGTAAGTTTGCCAGTTGGTTCCGTTGTTTTATACATTCTTCTCATTTTAGAACGTCTCATTAGTTTCTTGGACTGACCAAGGTTTACATAGCGGGTTTCGTCGAGGAAGTAGAAGACGCTTTCTCTTCCTGAATACCTGGTCTTCTTCTCCTTGTACTATTTTTCAGGAGTCTCCTTGTAAATTTTTCTTTTGTTCATATTTTAATTTGAGTTTGGAATTTGATTGTGTTTACATGTTGGTTTTTTCTTGTTGTTTTCTACTACTCAAAATGTGTATCAAGTTAGAGTTAACATATTTATAGCGTGTGCAAGTACAAACACAGACGAACTTTTGAAATCAGTCTACAAACTACCAGCTCTGTCAAATAAACTATGCTTAATGTCCTGAAAATAGGAAAGTTACAAATGAAGTGAACTGGGATGAGATTACAGTTACATAAACGACGTAAGCGTTCCTCTTAAAGAATGGTTTTAAATCGCTGGAATGGAACTCCTACAACAATCACGCAAAAAAATAAAAAAAAACCACTTACGGTAATTGGATCCCTGTAGCACAGTAGTACAGTGGCACTTCCGCCGCCAAATGTTCCACATACAGTGCTTCCGGTGACGTACACAGAACGTTGTTAACTATCTGTAAGGTTTTGGTCCATAAACCAGCTATGAAAACAACAAGAAAATATCAGTCAAATTCGATATAACTAGGACAAAATATGTTCCGGAAGAGTAACCGTCTTCTGCTTAATCGACCGCCATGTAAACCTAGTCCAATTGAATATTGAAAATATCCCAGGGAAATAACTATGACAACCGTAAAACTTCCCCATAATTTTCCTTAACCTGCTTCTTTTGAAACCCTGTGTTATGAGTTTGTCAGTTCACATCTTGCACGATCATATAACAATTTTTCATTATTAGAAACGTTAAGTGCGTCAGTTTTCTCAACCTCAGTAATTATTTATATGTAATCGCTTCTGTTGAATTTAAACGCAGACATAGCGATGCTCAATCAATTCATCTTTAATTATCAAACTACAGTTATTTTTGTTTGACATTATGTAATGTTAGTCAGTTACTTGATCAATATTAGATAATTGGTTATTCGATGTTGTATTTTATTGTAGTTTGCTTACGAAAGAGGATAACAGGCTGGCTCAAGATACCACTTTTATAGAGCAAATTCCGTAACACATTATCTTCTGCCTCTTCAAACTTGTAAAGATGTGTGATTTTCTCGTGATCAGGATCCTAATTTTTTATAACAGAAAAATTGCAGTATTTGTAACATCAATATAACATGCACATGGCAATAATTTCAAATCAAAAATTCATTTAAATTGAATAAGTTGATATCATCAATTCGCTGATTGGTTAAAAAACCAAAATTATCAACATCTCTTCCTGATCTACAATCGATCATAACATTCTGTGATAGTATGCATGTGTTACTTCATCATATCAAATAGTGTTATATCAGCTTATTATAGCAAGTTATGGTAGTATCACCGTTTACCGTTTTGAAGTTTGAAAGTTTGACGATGAAGGGAAATTTCCAGGGGTAGAAAAAAGGTGTAAGTTTGGAGATGTTCAATCAACTAGCCGTAGGGAAGTAACGAAAGACATAATCGACCTGTTATACAGTTAATTCGTCTATGTAACCTTTAAGTGTATAATTCACTAGTGTTATATACACTTCCACTGGCAACGTCAGTCAAAAAGTGGATTGTGATATCATGATATAGAGATTGTACAAAAGACACACATGCAAGTAGAATATCCCCTTTAATAGACATTTAGAATTAGACACAACAGAGCCAAAACAAAAACAAAAAACAAAACAAGACAATACCAACATGTCAACATAATCACAATCCGGACTCAAATTCAATAAAACTAGGGCAAAATATGAACAAAAGAGATATTTACACGAAGATTTATGAAACCATGTATAACGAGTTTGTCCAGTAACGACTTCTTGTACGAAAAACGTAATAATGCGAACATACCTTTGACTATCCGGGGAAGGGTGTCGCTATCCAGAAATGGAAAAAAAGCGGGAAAATTTAAATGATCACACTTTTCATACAGCTTGGTTGAAAGCTGTTCATGTTAGTTTCGTAGTAGGAAAAGAAGGAAAACACCGAGATAAGCGGCTGTTGTAGAAGAGTCTGTCTTGTCCTTGGTTTCCAATTCTGATGATTATATACGATGGACTCGGTTAACAAGATTTTTGTGACCTGTTTTGATAAGCACTGCGATAAATTCTGCCCCTTAGGAAAACAATACAAGTCAGCCAAAATGCTAATTCATATCATTATCTTTCGGAGAGTGTAAACGAAGCTCCGAAAGATCACGTGTTGACGTTGGCTAACTCCAATCAAAACAGCCATGGGTGGTAGACTAGGTTAGTTGGAAGCTGATAACCTTTTTCTCTCAGACAGTGTTATAATTTTGTGAAGGGTCAAATTTTAATGATAACATTGATTAATTTCAAACGCATGGGAACAAAATAACGAAAGCTAAGCATTTAGTCTCTTTAAAGAGAAGAGATGGAGATACTGAGTCTGCCACTATACTTGCTAGTCAGAGGCATGCATTCGGAGATTTATACATAATATTGAACTTTGTCACATTGATCACGTAATGACATTGAGGACATGTCTGTTTGTACGTCGGAGATTGTATTCTGTTGATTTTCTTATTCAATTTGTGTCATTTACACAAAACTTTTGTCAGATAGTTGGCGGAACTTTCGGTTTATACATCTACGGAACATTCGAATGTTTTTCTGTGTTTATTGTGGAGTAATTTTGAATTCTTTGGAGGACAATAAATATGTCCAAGCACGGACTTACCGTGGACGGAGCGCCTACATGTACATGTACGTCTCATGTGAGCGGTGTTGAAAATGTTTCGATAACTGTTTCTCCTGTACAAACCGGTGTTAAAAGACTCACCCCAGATACTTCTCCTAGCCCAGACTCCGTAAATAATGTTTCGAAAAAAACCCCGCAAATTTCCGATACCCCGCCCAGCCACACCCAGTCCTCCGAACATTCAGAAGGGGTTTGTTCACCAAATCCTGACATCCCAATAAAACCAGATGATATTAAACGCATGGTAGATGAGCTTGTGGGTCCTGTATCACATTTAGTTGCTCAGGTATTGAAGACCATATTGATTGATGAGTTTCGTCCCATGATCGAGAGCTCGGTTAAAGAGATTATGGAATCCAACGACAGTATAGGTCGTATGATAGCCAGCTGTGTTGAGAGCAAAATTCAATCTGACCCTCATCTTGTAGAGAGGGAAGTTGCATTAAAGAATGTAGAAGTGCATGAAAATGAAATAGCAACACTGAAAAACTGTATTGATCTACGGGAAAAGAAAATCGAGAATCAAAATAATATCTTGAACCAACACGAACAATACTTGAAAAGAACTTGATTGAAATGTTTAAATGTGCCTGTTCCGCAAGAGCAAACGAGTTCGCCTTTTGACCCATTAAAAGCTGTACTGAATATTCTACGCATGCTTGATATTGACATGTCCCCTCATGCTATATCTAGATGTCACATCTTAGGTCAAATTTCTGATGGTAGAGTTACAATCGTCGCTAGATTTGTGCGATACTATGATCGTCAGATGGTTTTCGACGAAAAGAAAATGATGAAGGGTAACGAGCACAGGACAATGATAGTACAGTCCCTTACCAAACACCGACAGATGATAGTGAGCGAGTTAAATTCATTCCTTTTGGACACGAGACGGGAAAATCTTCGCGCTAAAGGGAGAGAGATCTACTAAGATCCTGGTGTCGAGGTCAAATCACCAATCTAGTACCAATGGGAGGAGTTCCTCCTAAGGATGTACTGTACATACAATCAGCCTCTGGATCTCAGACATGTCTATATGTTGTAAAAATGTTAAAACTTCGATTTTGAGGAATTCGTTGATTATTATTACTTTTTTCTAATTATATATTAAGAAAGTATTGTTACATATGAACTAATTCATAAAACTGGAAAACTGAATTGTTCTTGTATGTCATTGCCTTAAAATTTATATGTATATTGATTGGAGAGGGCGTCGATAATGCCGCTTGATAATCTATAGTTTAAAAAATTCGTTCATCTGGAGCAAGATATCCACGAATGCGCGACGCGGCATGTCCTCAATAGCTGCACAAGGTGAGTGTAGCAGGATAGTGCAACCCCGTACACTTGAACTCACTGGACTTTTTTCTTCTAGGGATATTTTAAAGATAGGGTATACCACCTATCTTAAACAATTACTATCAAGCTGAAATGTGGCGTTTGTAGAGAAATACGTTTTTGTACAAGAAATAAATTTGTATGGTTACAGCTTCAACAGCATTATCCTCACATTTCTAAATGTGTTTTTTTTTTCTTCAAAAAATATTAATCTTAAGAATAAGGACGGATATTATACAAAACCCTATAACCTGTACGATTTCGTTGTTGTAAATGAAAGACGAGTTGAGTCATATAACTAAAATACAGCTAGTAAAACTGTGTTAATGTGTGAGATACCAGTCTGTTAATAACTTCATAACTATATAAAATAATGATATTAAATATCAATGAATGTAATTAGATAAAGACCCGTTCTCGACACATCTTAAGTCTGGTAATCACATTAAAAATACATGATGGCTGAGGTTAAGAATAGTAGAAGTGACACGTACATGAAGATTAACAACTTTAGTGTCACTTACCTTCAAGGCTTGCTCTGTAGTTTTTATGAGAACAGCACTAAAGTCCGGCCATTTGTCCACATACACGTCATATCCGGTCAACCCTCGTACTATTAATGATATTGGTTGATAAACCTGAAACAGAAAACTATTGTTGCATATTAATATACCTAAACGTATAATTTTTCGTTATCACTAACCTGTCGCTGAAATTTCTTAAAATAATTCCTTTATTGAGATTTTCACTGCGAAGTACAAATTAGTAAATTTTCATCATGAATAGCTTTCTGATCTAATAAGATATGTAGTCGTGTATCTTAACACAGAGACTATCGATTCATTTTTGTACCATCTTCAAATACATCACAATAGATATCTTAAGCTCTTACAACTGCATCATGCTAGGTAAATATTCGGCCTTTAGTATATGTATAACTTTAACTACAATCATAGCTGAGTTCTGTAAACTGGTAATCACCTTGTACAGTCTTAAGACTGATTAGAATACACGTCCCTCAAGTCACGACCTTATTCCTAATAGACGTCAGTGCGTTTAAAAAAATACGTATGATTTAGGAATTTTATTCTATTTCGGATTTAGTGAACCATCTCATTTGCATTTTGAACATTCATTTTTTTTCGCTTGCTGAATTATATCACTTAATAATCTTAGCATCAGTGACGAGTCCTAGATGGACGAAAATAACAGTTTTCAAATTATTGAAAATCTTTCTGGATATTTCGCAAAGGACGACTGAAACTATAATCCCCATACACTGTATAATTAGACTGTCTACTGAAACTGTAAATCTGGTCATCTAGTTCGTTATTACATACAACATTATACATTTATTGACCGAGTTTGAGGTCGGCCGACGGCAAGTTTGGTCCGAAGGTTCAACATAACACACCGAAAGTCTAGTCTACAAATGTTTTATTTTGACTTCTACCGTTGATATTTAAGAAAACAGATCATTATAGATAAAGATAAATGACAGGAAATCATTTCAACAATTTTAATTCTGAAATGAATTTTCAACAACAACGTGGCTTGATATTATCGTTTAATGATGGAAATTGTCGAGTAACGACCGGCAAGTACCGAAAACGACCGGGAAGTACCGAAAACGACCAGGAAGTACCGAACAGTAATGAGCTGTGACGTAAGCAGTCAACATCGAGATGTTGACCTCTGAAATTTTTTCAGACTTTGTTCACTGTAGAAAAGTATAGAGAATAGAAAGTAAAAGTATAAAAATCAGTGTTTGATGTTTACACTGAATAAATTGAATGCTGGTAAAACCACTTACCATTATCGATTGTGGAAGGTGTTTCTTTAACACGAGCATCATATCAGGAAGATATTTGGGTTGTAGTAAAACCGCCATGTTATTTTTCTACAAACACAAAGGTACAGAAAAATTGGTTCTGAATACTCGCAAATACATATCATTAACCCAAATTGAAAAATATTTTTTCTCTTGATCATTCATTTGTATATATTTTGTAAATCGTAGTCCTAAAATAAAGTATATTAAACGAGATTGAAGATTCTGTCATATCGCATGTACATAGGACTGGTCAAAGTAACTTCCATTATTTTTTTTAAAATTTGATAAAAAAGTTAATATACATACTTTTGTGAACCTCGATTTCGAACCTGAACAAACAGAGATAAATAATTCTCACAACTTCATAAAACAATAATCCAACAGCTGTTTTTACACGGAAGTTCTCCCGAAAATACTTAAACGTGCGAATTTTAATACACACACACACACACACACACACACCGTCACTCTTCTTCACCCCTCACTCGTGCTCACAAACGTGTGATCAAATGTCTAAATAGCTAAACAATATACTGTTAACTTAATAACACAACATTCTTTGGAATTCATCGTTATTTCCTACACTCATTTTACTGTGGTTTTGTCGTACTTCCGGTAATGCACGATCCGGGATGTTCTAGTGCGCGACGCTCAGTCAGCCAGGACCTGAATACGTATGCAGTGTTAGCGGAAATTTTATTACTCTGAATATAACAAGATACTGCCATATAAATCAAAATATATTCTTTTTTACCCAATAACACTATCAAACACCAGGGCCTTATATAGATCTAAGTTATGAAATCGGCTTACATAACTATTGAAGTTCCTCCTAAAGAATAAACATTTATAAAATAATGAATTAAGAAGTTTATTGAATAATGGTGCACCTCCCAGTCTAGATCTTAACAATTCTTTTGTTCCTATTTGATATTCCTCACAGGTTCAAAACTTAGGTCTTTAACATCACTTGCGAGTCCTTGAACAGCTGTTAGATTTATTTAAGTTCTCTATTTGGTATCACTGTATTCAATCTAAATTTGTATTGAAAGGTGCTATTCATTTGTATGTATTTTGTAAATCGTACTCCTAAAATAAAGTATATTAAACGAGATTGAAGATTCTGTCATATCGCATGTACATAGGACTGGTCAAAGTATCTTCCGTAATTTTTTTTAAAGTTTGATAAAAAAGTTAATATACATACTTTTGTGAACCTCGATTTCGAACCTGAACAAACAGAGATATACTAATTCTCACAACTTCATACAATAATCCAACAGTTGTTTTTACACGGAGGTTCTCCCGAAAATACTTAAACGTGCGAATTTTAATACACACACACCGTCACTCTTCTTCACCCCTCACCCGTGCTCACAAACGCGTGATCAAATATCTATTTATGCTTGCAAACTAAAACATCTAAATATCTCAACAGTATACTGTTAAATTAATAACACAACATTTTTTGGAATTCATCGTTATTTCCTATACTCATTTTAATGTGGTTTTTATCGTAGTGACAAAATAAGTATTCTGCTAAATATATCGTACTTACGGTAATTCACGATCCGGGATGTTCTGGTGCGCGACGCTCAGTCAGCCTTGTGGTAGATTAACAGTCAATATTGATATTGAGCTGAAGTATAATATATTGGTATTCACAACAAATTGTCATATATAGTGTGTAGGTATTTAAGGATCAAAATAATACGGCTAATTCATCAAGATGACACAGCACAAGGTTTATAGATAACATGGCAGACGACAGACACTTTTCAACTCAAATATGTTTACAGTGTGTCTGGGTCACAGTAGACAATTGGTAGTACTAAAAGCAAGATATCACCTACCGGATCTTTACCGACACCTACCGATTAGCGGTAGTACAATACTAAACACGCCGGATGTTGACCATCACAAATTTATCAATACAGCTCCCAAGAAGATATATAAGAATATATTACATATCTCGTATTTCACTTATTCTTCATGTAAATATTTTCATATTACAAGGATTGTAAAAAAAAAAAAGAAAGTGAATAACGCCTTTCCATACAAATTTAGAATTACATATAGCATGACTCCATAATTTGAAGTATGGTAGTAAGATGATATAACAATGTATGACATCAAAATTTACGAATTATTAGTTTATTAACGAACTCTCACGTGACACTTACACTATATGTACTCTTGTTGTGTCATTGAAATGCGATGTTCGCGTTCCATGATGTGATCATTCTATTTGTGATACAAAGTCCACGTTAAAATCAGTGTTTACAAGATTACGTAAGAGATCGATGTTAAAAAGGTATCTCGTCTAACATAAACCTAAGAAGTTTATAAAAACAGTTTAAATCTAAGACTGTACATGTTATCTACACTGGCGTGTCAAAAAGTTACTAAACGAAAAAAAACATGGCAAATGAACAACAGTAGAAATATAGATGAACGATCAAATGAAACATTTACATTCATAAAAAAAACTGTTATTGTTATAGCGAGGAGACAGGAAGTTGTCAGAAATCCTACTTACCAGTAGTATGTGTTGTGAAGTATTATTCTTATGGGGGTGGCTAATCTATACGACAGACATTCCTCCTCTTGGTTTAAATAGTTATGATGAGAAGAAATAGAACGCGTGCCATAACTATAATAGTATGCTATCATTATTGTTTGTTTTTATCCATAATTGATTTTTACGATTGCACCTGTCCTGAACTAAACGTTCCACTGTATCTACATGTTCATTCGTTACATGGGAGATATACCAACTTATTGGTATTTAAACCGCTTGAAATGTAAATGTAAGTCTTATCAGCAGAACACTGAAAAAAGATGAGTACATACTCAAAAGTATCTAAAAGTATTTTCAATTTTCTCATCAAAGCAAAGATGAAGGAAATGCTGTTTTCTTTACAATTATTTAATTCGTTGTAGATGGTTCTCTATGTAAAGACAAAATATGGTGAGTGTTTCTCGTCTGTTTGAATGTCCAGGACTGTTCATGAATGGTTGTACGTGTATGTGTCTTCATATTGTCCATCTGTAGGGCTGTTTGATAGCTTGTCCATTATAACGTGGAATTATAGGGAAACACCGCAGTAAATCCAGCCAAGTAGACACAATACTGCTGAATGGATCTGGGTTTTTTTTTCTGAATGAGTCCTGATTTACAGAGCGAAGTAACGAAAACGAATTATACAAGTGTTTTATATATACTTTAGGTGTATACTTTGCAGTCACTGGTGATGAACTCTGACCTTCACAACCAGCAGATGATTAGGATAAATGAGGCAAGAGACCATTCATTAAATCATCTTGATTAACTCCACAATATCGATTTCTTAATTATCATTAATCAAAAGTGTCACTAAATTTATCTATTGCAACGCCATGTCTCAGCTTAAGGTTTTTCTCAAATAACTTTTTGTAGGTTGATACAAGGACTTGTCAACCTTCCAAAAGTGATATATCTCTTGATCTGCGTTTGTAGGTTACTACGAGGCCTTGTCGACCTGCGAAAGGTCATATATAACGAGGCTGTATTCCGAGGGAAACATCACAGTTCAATGACTGATTTGTGATATGATACGTATTTAAGTTGAGAGTTGAAAATAAAAAAAAAAACAAAAAACAAAAACAAAACAAAACAAAAAATAAAACGAAAACAAACAAACAAAACAAAAGTCCTAACTGGAAATATGAGACGATGTTATCTTTTCAGTATAAACTGCGCACAAATATAAAAACAAAACTTCAAATATGTAAAATCATATTTTGGCGGGGCTCATTTTTCGTAGGTTTCCAGAACAAAACTATTTTGTTGAGACTGAATTTCGTGGATAAATATAGCTCAATAGATCTGGTTATGTGCAATTTGTGGACATATGATTTCGTTGTTCTTAGACTACAGACGAAAATAAAACATCCACGAAAATTATTTTTATGAACAAGATACAATACACATATGAGTAAAATATTTTCCCATTGTCCACTGTAGCATGATATACTTTGACGGTTCAGTTAGGACATCATTCTCTGTTTTAGATTTTCAACAAATGTAACATGTATAAAGACATGTTATTGGAATGGCTTTAATGAAAAGAAATTCGGACAATATTCCTGATCTGTGTTTATGAATTTGACTTCCCACTAAGTAACGTATATATTCCAATCAGTCACGCGGTTCACTATCTGTAGTGAGTGACCCTGACTTCATTATCGCTTAAACCTAAACCTGGAACGAATTTAGCGAATGAATATTCAATAAGGCAAAATCTAAACACAATGTCAAGAGATTAAGCGTGCCATAATAGAGAACGCACCTGTTATGATGTTTTCGTTGGGGTACAGACAAATCCTTAGGTACCTTTGAGTAGTTCGTCAGGTCGCACAGGTTTTCGCTCATGTGGGTAAGAAAGTTACTTTGGCGAATAAAACATTTCAGGTATTCCAAACGTCCGGAGAGATTTAAGATGACACCCGAGCTTCAAAAATATGTAGTTATTACAAGTATCGACCATCAAAGTAGTACAATTTTTTTTCTTGAGTTGAAGCGATTTTTTCCTTTTATTGTAAACAATTGTAAAAAATGTTATAAAATATGTGGAGAATTGAAATTCTAAATTCTAGTTTCAACGCTGTAAATATGACAAAGAAGTGTTGTTTCTTAACCAACCTAACGAAATACTTTTATTGATAGAATATAATTTTTTTTGTAGTATTGTGTTTACAGCATGAGATATTCTTTGGCCCCTTTTCAATAAACTAGCTTTAACATGACATTGTAAATTAATTGTACATGACTGCAAGCTACAGTATCATTATGCAAGGTTGCCAAGGTAAAGGGACGACAATAATTTGTTCTCAGCGCTTAAGTCCTTCAGTGTTTACTTTACCGCCATCCGGTTCCCAGGCACGCCCATCAGGATTGAATTGAAGAGAAACGTGTAGCATGTTGCCATTTTGAAGGATATGAAGCTACGTTATATTCCTACAGCTCTTCTATCTACGAGCACCTCTCTGCAAGTGATAACTATATAGGTGTATATCGGTAATCATATATCATTATAATGCAAAGTTCCCAGATTCTTTAATATTAATAATATAGGCTATGAACTTTACATGTGCACCTCACCGCATGCGTCTAGGAAAACCTTTCACACGGAATAGCGTAAACGTCTCTTTTGATATTCAATTTCATCAGCTGGAAACTCGGCATTGGAGTGTATTTTAGTAAAAGTTCAATAGACATTGTAAAGTAATGGCACCAAATACATAGTGTAGTCAAGATATCTATTATATACGAACATTGGGGTCGGATACAAAGAGAAACAGAGATATATAAACATATATACAGTACATCTGTACTGTATAATTAATTTATGTCTCATCACGACACGGACGACACCAGTATTCATTTAACGACTATCACTTCATGTACCTTAGATAGCCTTTCTATTCGAAACCTTCTGGTGTATCCCTCTACAGGTGCCGCCAGAGTCAGGACGACCGAGTATTAGTACCATATCTAATTTTGTGGAGATAGAGAATGCTAGAGATACAGAGAGTAAATTCGAGTCAAGAATGTACTGTTGGATGTTTTGGCACATTTTTTCCGTTATCTTAAAAACATTACTACCATGCAATAATAACTAGGGGTCTAGCGGGATGAAGTAATTAAGTTCGCGGTACATCTGGTCTTTGTTTTCAATATGATATACACTGAGATAAAAAAAAAATTCCGGAAATTTCAATCCGTCGATACAGATATTTCATAGGATGTACAATGTATTTGGTCAGACACAGACACTATTTATAATTGTATAAAATGGTCAGGTCTTCCGGAATAAGATATATAGGTGCTTTCCTCATGCTCGGAGTTTTAGAAGAGACAACACAATATATAATGGCAAGAAAGACTATCAAATGTATTATGTATCAACGACACATGCTCATGAATCCTACAACACGCACACACAAACAATTTAGATCAAACATCACTAAAAATTCAATCGCATTTAAGATAACTTTACACATTGTTGTTTCCCGATATAACTACATATATTCAATTACGTCTCTTATCATTCATTCTAAAAGTAAATCTTCTCTCGGTATCAAGGGCAGTAACTCTTCGTCAGGTGGACTATTGAAGGTATGACAAGGCGTATTAGACCAAGTAGTTTGTTTATAATGCTATAATGCATATAATGACGAAGACTTTGACAATTTCTGAAAGGTTCGCACAAGACTGTCATCTAAGATTTAACAAATGTAGATAACCGTTTCTTCTGTCTAATTGGCGATATATTAAACATTATTCAGGGAAGTATGATACCAGGAACATCAACGTGAATTATTAGAAGACAAAAATTTCAACTGGAACCACTATACACATCATTGTACATGTACGCGCAACGAAAAACCGCTGTGCAAATGACAAACCGATAACAATAATTTCCTATCACTTTTGGAATACTCGGTCAAATATATTTCAAAAAGCCAGAAATCAACTTAAATTTAACATAAAAAGTAATTATATTTCGTTTGTACCGACGCACAATCTGAAATAGGAAATATGTTTAATTGTGACTGTGTCTGCATGTGCATCGACATTAATACTGAAGATTACAAATTGACGAAATTGACGACTCGTAACATCAGATAACACATCATATTAATGAACAGCAAGTGTTTTGACTTCAATGTTTTTTTTTCAGCTGGCGATTCTCGTGTTTGAAGTCCCAGATGTTTGTTGTAACCACACACGCCTATTTCTAATTTTATTTTGATGCCGAAATTATTCAGAATATAAACCTACATTTGTGGTTATTGTGAAATCATCTAGAATTAAATTTGTTGAATTGAAATCCACAAGTTTGTTGTAACCACACTCACCACGTTTTCATTTTATTTGGATACTGGAATAATTAGGAATATACACATGCGCTTGTTGTTAATTTGATGTCATCTAGAATTAAACAAATCTTTATTTAATCTTAAGTTTTGTACGCGTCCTTCTTTCTGTATCAACATTTATTTCGACCATTACTTACTTTCCTTAGTGACCTCTGGCATCACTTACGAAGCAGCAATAGTATGCATATTAATTCATCGTTGAGATATAATGTTTCTAATTCTAAATTTGTATTAACGTGCTATTTACCGTAGTGTCTATTATGAAACAGCGAAGCTGTGTAAGTCTGATAATAATTTTTTTTGTGAATTTTCAATTTCCCGAAAGTATGATTCATTACAGATGTTACTATGCTACATAACCCTTCTAAATTCGGGCACACGTTTGTATAGTCTTTATGATGACCTCTATTTGCCATTCCCTTTCCGGTTATATAGTCAAATGTTCTAGATGCTTGTCTGTACATATATGCTTGGTGGTTTCGTTAATACAAGTATGTTTCGCATTAAACAAGTTAGCATAACTCACTGGGATCGTACTTACTATATATGAAAAATGTTGTGGATGACGTAGAAGACGCTTATCCATTCTGTTCTAATTCTTGTTATTTCCTATTTGAACGTTAAAAAAAGTCAAATATGGTACCAGAAACACACAGAAGAGAATATAAGTCTACATGGTTGTTGTAATCATTATCCTGTCATTCCTTTCTTGTTCCTCTATTTACTGGTGTCAATCAGCTTCGTCACTGTATTTGAGTGTGTCATGGAGAAACTTTTTTATCTTAGAATGTTGAGGAATTCCATGTGTTATTTTGTTTGATGTTATCATTCTGTAAGGACCGAAGCGACACCATATGCTTTTCAAGTCGTTAGTTGAGTCTGTAGTGCAGCTTATTACAACGAGGGATTAACGCTTTGGTGTATTACAGTATCGTGAACCGACTTTGTCACATATTGAGATAAAATTTTAATAAAAGTGCCTTGTTGATCACAGGCAACGGTTGAAAGGGCAATGGGCCATCTACAAATGCATTTAGTGTATATGCATGTAGTTTCTTACTTGACCTCCTATATGAGTGTGTTGCAATAGCTACATAAACACAACTGACCACACTTATGAGTAATGAGTGAATTTCATAAATCTGTTTTTGGGTTTGGAATATAGAAATAAAAATCCATTTCACTTGTGGTTATTCTTAAATCTTATTGAGAGGAATATTTAAAGACTCCTATGTTTTGTAGATATAATTTCCATGAGCGATATGACGTTTGAAGCTATGCTTTGTGAGGCTAATACTCTTCCGTACATAGACATATCGAATAGGAATTGCAAGAAAATGATGGATCAAAAAGGCACCTAGCCTAATCATAGAAGACAAAGGTAGGTCGAAAATGGATAGTATGATTAGCAATTAGAGTAGACATTTTAAAAACTGTATTTCTGTGTTAGCACGGGGATTAGTAACTGCTCATTTTGCTTATAAATCATAACTAGTCAATTCTAAACAAATAAAACTAATTTTAATAAATAAATAAAAGTACGAAATTTCATTTTTGTCTTATATAAAAATACATAAACTTTGTCCTTAAGTAGATTTCATTGTCATGTCCAAGCTTGATCACTTAATTACTGCTGCAGTTATCGGAAATCATCACATTATCTCGTACTACACGTCTAGGTTTCCGTGTGAATTTCTGGGGGCTCCATGCGTAGCTGTAATCTTTTAACGAGTCCAGTTTCGAAAGTTGTCTTTTCGAAACGAGTGCTCGCCGTACAAACACCTTACATCCAAAATCGACCACGGATTGTATTTGATTCAGAAGACGTTTCCTCCCTCCAAGAAGAAGGTCGTGTTCCCAATCGACACAATTCCCTTTCCTTGTGACAATTTGTGAGTATACTACATGTCGCTTTCCTCGTGTTTTCGTTTGCACTGATACCTCATAAACTGCAGTTTTTCTCGACCTGTCTTTGAATAGCTGTTTGCGTTTTAAACATTTACCTCCAAATGTTGTAGTAAAGCCTCGTTTTAAACTCGGTCCAAAGGCGTTCACTGGAGTATATGCAATACGCCATGTAGACCAATCTAAACGGCTGCACGGGAATGAAGAGCGTGTTACTTTCTCTCTATGTATGAGTTTTGAGTCTTCCTTGGCCTTTCTCTGTAAAAACGCCTACAGTGTATGTATGCAGTTTATGTAAACAATATACATGCATTTATCATGTGTACGTTTACGACATATTTAGTGATCTATTTCAACGTTTATCTGTTTGTAAAATAATCAGACTTATGGCATTTCTTATTATTATTGTTTTGAAGGAGAGATGTTTCAGTATCTATGTTTTATACAAAATAACATTGATGTGAATGAGATTCTTTTGAAATACTATTACCTGTTTTTGCTTTTTCACAATTGGTTTTTTTTGTTGACTGCCTGGCTTTTGTTTTCGTAATGGCACCGGCGCTTTTCCTTTTATCATTTTCGGACTAGTAACTTTAGGCGGTGGTACTACTATAGGACATGATGCAGTTGAGCTTGTGCTACTGGCTCCAGACTCGTTCTTGCGGAGTGTTCCAAAGAGTCCCTCCAATTCTCTATTGATACCGCCAGGTCCATATCTGGAACGCACTTCAGCTTCATATTCCTTCAACGAAAGAGTAAAAATACTGAACACATCAGGTAAATTTGTAAACCGGTTTGAGAATTCAAAGACATAAGGGAAAACTGTTGTTAGTATACCTGATTCACTGGTATGCGTTGTTAACGATAACATGAGAACATGTGGTCCCCTTGTAGATTACTTTTCTTTCGATCGCTTTGGATTTTTCTCAGTCGCCCCCTAGGCTTCAAAATCTAGGCCTTTAGCATCGCATCACTGAAGAGTCCAAGAAGGACAAAACAGCTGTAAGATGCAGTTAAATTCATTGTTTGGCGCTAAACTTGAAATGATTGACATTTTGCTAGTAAAGATGTTCGTATTTTTTTCTAATCTGAAATGCCAAAATAGATTTTAAACCTCTTGATCTACTGGAAATGGACGTCTTATAGCAGTGTATTTAATTATGTGATGCATACCGAAACAAACAAATTATCAGGAATTTAATTGATGTTCACGATAGGTTGATTAGTTGAAATACATTTATGTAAGTACCGTGAAAAGGTGCTCGCCTCTCTCTCGATAGCAGATAGCCATCAGGAAATCACAGATGTTGGAGAATTCACCCAGTCTGAGGTAGTGGCCATCTGTTTGTAGGGCCATTGTCTTGTAGAAGTCCTCCACACCTTCATGTTCAAACGCCTGGACTCCGTATATCTTAACTCCCTTTAAAATAACGTTTTTAAAATGGTTTTATATATGTTTCATCACCCAGGAAACACATAAATAAAATAATACATCATATTATAACGAACTGTTTGTGACTTCGTGGACGTTTAAATTCGAGAATGTTGTATAGTAACGGCGAAATGAACGAAAATAAACATCCATAAAAATGATTTTACAAAAGGTATACACACACTGTTTTTAAGATGGTTAATCTCCTGTCTCCAGTCTATATTATCCACATTCAGTTCATACTCGGGCTCGTGTGGGTTTGCGTCTCCAATCATTACCAGTATTTTCTGTGACACGTGTGTCCAGGAAAACTTCTGTCGGACCATACGGAGAATTAGTTCGTAGCATTCGTCGGCATCCCCGCCACCTGTACCTCCCACACCCTTCACAAAGTTACAAAGTTCCACTACGTCGGTGCAAAAATCTAGCTCCTGGGTCAAATAGAAAACGTCTTTGTCGCAGTAGTCCCCGTGGGCTATAACACCAATTCTAATGCCGGGAATGTCCGCCTGGAGGCGCTGTATCATGTCCTGTAATCTTCCCTGAACCTCCTCAAGTATGGAGGACATTGATCCCGTTGTGTCGAACGAGAAAACTATTTCCATAAGACCTCCAGGAGGAAGTGTGTAGGTTCCTGCTGCCATTCTGAACCTTTAAACAAAGGTAAGACCAACGAACAATCCCGCAAATATCGAATGATCAGCAATAAAAGAAAGTATATAATGACATGTCTATTGAGTCTTATTTCAAACTAAAATTCGATAAAGTGACCCAGAGAAAAAAAAATTACACAGAAATACAAGTGTATTTCCTACCTTATAATAGCTGGAATAGCATGTCCTAATTTGATACTTGGAACACAATGATCTATACATTTTCAAGGATTGTACAGGAAAACATACAACACAGCTTTCATCATCTTTCTTTAGTCTTTATTTTGGCAAAGTTTCATTGAATTTATGTTTGAATTCAGATTCTTTTAATATGTCGGTATTTTCTTTGTTGTTTTATTCTGTCAGCTCCTTCTATTTCTGAAGGTAGATTCAAACACAGATATTATTGATATAATCTTAGTCGTTATCAAAATATTTATAGGGTCAGTTTGCTGTGCATCAATTCTGTGACTGGTTTATCTAGTATGATTTAGCCCTCTCCAAATACCTGTGCTGTTCATTGTTAGATGTCTATCACTGACACAGCACTTTACTTTAAGGGCAAGGTCCAGTAATTTCTGTGTCAAATAGCCATTAGATAACAAATAATGAAGTATGATCCTCTACGGTCTGAAATTTGACAGCGTCAGATGATGCACTACCGCTGTAAAATTAATAAACATTACACCGAAACTATGATAAGTGATTTATAACCCGGAAGTCGGTTTATGCTGTGTCAGCATGCTCAATATTTAGCAGTATATTATACTGTATATCAACTCTAAGCCCCTTTTTACAATAATAATTTACAGCACTTGTCTGTATTAACCTACCTTGGTAGTCTGTGTTACCTTACCGCTCGCATACGGTGGTCGGTAGTTATTCTGCTGTGTGCATGTGGCACATGTGTAACACCATCATCTGGTATCTGTACATACGGGTAGATATGGGCCACAGCGCTGATTGTATGCAAGTTTTGTCATGTTCGTTTATTTCTGTACACATGTATTGGAAATAGAGTTACATGGGCTCCGGTGTACATTCTCCGTCAAATATTGATATACATGTATATTAAACATACATAAGAACACTTTGATTTTATGTTATGATTTTATTCCCCAAAACAACCCATACGTATCATATGTTTGAGTTGAATTGTTAAATATTGGATAGATATAGTAAAAAAATCTCAGATTAGATATGTCTGATTGAAAAATTACGCAAAAGTCACATCCTTGAGCCAATATAAACGGCTTGGATGATATATATCATGAACATATTGGGAAAGGAATGAATATAAGGTTTCAAATATCTATATATACAGTAATGTTGATTGAAAACGTGAACACATTCTGCAAATTAAGCTAACATTTTATCAATATCATCGTTGCAGAAACAAATTACGACAACACACTGCCTTTTACCGTTGTTGTTCATTTGGTGCTTACTGCTGTCATTGCTACCACGGTATACACGCGAAAACTTACAAAAACCTGTTCATTTTCGGCCTGTTGCCCTAACATAATGGCATATAATTCCGCTTTAACTCGTCTTTTAAATTCCTCTTTAATTTTGACAAAAAGGAGAAATGGGCAAAATTGACGAAAATTTCCCCAGCGTATCTGTATCATGTTGTTTCTAAGATTTGAATGGCTTGTAAACTGCTGCCACTGAGAAATTAAACGACACAAAATATGTTCTTGTATATTGATGTGTATCTTTTCAACAAGGCACATCTAATCTATACCTCAGTCCCTCAAACAGTATTGCCTTTGGTGCCAACCGATTTCTTACTTACTTGTCCGGTTACATATATTTATCACGATGTCAACATGTCCCAATTAGATCATAATACATGAATCGGCTGTAATTAATGATTTCGATTTATTGTATTTTAACAAAATATGTAAAGGATTACAATAATGGTTTATGAATTACACATCTGACATTAATGAGTTATGATAATTGGCTACACATCAAGCAAATTGCGGAGTTATATCTTCGCCTCTTCAAGTAGTTTTTAATAAGAAAATATCGCTATGTGGTATGGCTTAAATTTGATATTTTTAACTTGTACTACATTAATATGCAGGTTTTCATATACAATAAGGCCCCTTTAAATAAGAAATAATGGCTGCAACAAATGAATACAGGAGGACGTACCATGTAATAGCTACTCTGACACATAAGTTGTATAAATTTGGTCAAGTGGGAATATAACAACTGGTAGTATCAGCATTGATCAAACAATTAAACTACAATAACTTTTCATGTAGTACCAAATAATTATGAACCCTTTCCATTTATCGGAAATTAAGTTCTTATAAATTCCGTGGAAAACTATGCCAGAGTGGAGAGTGGCGTGGGACTGGGGGAATTCACTTACAGTGGTTTAAATTCATAAGGTCTAATATTCCCAAAGAATCAGTATTTTAAAATCTAACATGAAAACAAAACAAGTCTGCATCCCTTGATCCTGATGTAAAATCATCACATTTACGAAATAGTTATTCCATTATACCTGTAAACAAGGCGTCAGATAACTTCATTCTGTTTGTGGTCATTTTAGATGAAGAAGGAAACCGAAAATACATATTATGCAGTCTATCCAAAGAATAATATCTAATCAAATAACAAAAATATTAATCGATTAAAATGGTGGAACGTGAAACTTTCAAAATAGGTTTTCAAGATGGCGGTCAATGAGGACATTTCTCCGATAAACAAGAACACTTTGACAGTACCATCTCAGGATCATCCATTCCAAGTTTCACATTACAAGTTTCACATGACTGACGGTGCTCAAAGCCGGACAAAACGTGATGGATATAGATCAGCTTGATCTTTCGGATCAGATTATCTAAAAACCGCACAGCCTTACATTGTATTAAGTAAACATATAGACTTTCAGGAAAGCATTGCTATTATTTTGTGCTTTAGAATAACTCATAAATTGTGATATGATTGCTTGTATCAGGGGCAGCATTTGACAAAATAAATTTATTACCACAGACAGATAACGTACATGGTTTGCTTAATCTTTCTGGTTTCACAAGTTCTCTAACTGCTGTTCCATTTCTCGAGATTTGAATAACGTTGTTTGAACTCCTGCCACAGACGTACAAGTTCCCTTCTCTGTCAACGTCCAAACCGTTTCCGTTCTTTAAGAGGCCTACCTTTGCAATTTCCTCCGTTGTTCCGTTCGGTGAAAGTCGGTACACTATCGTTTTATTAATCGTGTCGGTGAATACACTGACTATGACATCCTTTGAGTAGGGATCACACACAAGATAATAAGGCTGGTACTCTGGCCTATGTAGGATCCGAATGTCAGTTCTGTCCGTCGTCAGACTGTTTATTTCTGTTGGGTATACCGATGCAACAATAAATCTACCGTTGTTGTATACTATTCCTTTGCCACACTTTCCCGTTTTGATTTCAGCACCTGGTATAAGGTAAAGTTTCGAAGACCTGATTTCGACCATTGATATGAGTTGTTTGCTGCTAATGCTGACAGCAACAGTATCGTTGTTCACCAAGCACAGATCCCAATGTGCTTGTGGCAAAGACACCGCATCGACAAACTCGCCGTTTTCCTTAAACATTTTTACCTTCAAATTACCATTATCTGCCAATAAGATGTGCCCGTTAGCTAGGTAGAGCAATCCCGTTATTTTACATTGCCATGTATCAGACGCAGTCTTTATACAGAGTTCTTTTACGTCAGCAAGTGACAATGGCTTACTTGTAAGATGATTGACAGGAACTTCACGTCTTGTTCGAGTGACATTTAATCTACCAAGCATCATTATCTCATCGAACACATCGGCATCGTCGTGATCGAGGTTCAATTCTACGGTAGCATATGTTCCGGCTACCTGTGTAGTAAGGTCTTTACATGCCTTTATTTCCATCCTTCCTCTTTGGAGAGCTGATAGCATTTGTATGTTGTTCTTCTCAATGTTGTTACTTTCTAACAAAACCTGCGTTGTTCTGACACTATTGTGCATTCTCTCACATCTGTGTAACATGTCATCCAGGTGTTGTTTCTCTTTCTTGTATGTGGTAACAAGTTCATCTATGATATTCTGTTGTAGTTTGCTTAGGAGCGTCTCGAAGTTCTGACGTAAATCTGCAGTCTTCAAGGTTTTTTGTCTGCTTCTTTATATCATCAGCAACGGATTCCATATCTGAAGCTATTTCCTGGAGACTTGTCCGCATGTCCTGTATCTCGGAGCCACATCGGACTTTATCTCCAAACTCTGAGAGAGTTGTCACTACGTCACATCGTCTGTGCGCTACAGCAATACATGTGGAGCACACAGACCGATGGTCTTCACAATAAAGATCCATCTCCTTCTTGTGTTTAGGACAGTATGTGTGTGATGGAGCAGTGTTTGGGGACAAGTTCTGTCCGGTCCTCACCTCTACCAATGTTATCCCTGTATGGTCGTCATCCATAACGTCCTGAAGCTTACTGAGGCAAGTGTCACAAAGGAAACGGTTGGACTCTACCCACCACACATTTGCTGCAATATTTCTTTCATCCTTTTGTCTACATGGATCACATTCGTGTACCTGTGTTTCTCTAATGCATCCTTTTGACATTGCAGCAGTCAAGTTATTAGTAGGGAATTGTTTTGCCCAATTTCCTCTATCTTCCTTACAGTCTATGGGAACAGTTTCTGACCGACATATTGGACAAGGGAAGGAAACACATGGCGTATCAAATTCCTGTGTAATGTACGCACATAGGCATTCCTCACAGAATGTGTGGAGACAGGGAAGTGATTTCGGGTGTTGGAGTCGTTCCAGACAGATTGGGCACTCTATCAGACGGGGGTCAATATTTGTACTTGTCTCTGTCACATAAGGTGAGACAGTAGTAGGATTTTCTGATGTTCCACCTTCGGCCATATTCAACACCAGTTAACGTCAGCGTGCCACCATACCAGACCTGAAAGTAATTATTGAAGGCAAAAATTGATTTTAAAGTGAAGTCTCGGGTTTAATAATCGGGCATCGCTCTCTTTAAATATGTAAGATATCAATCTTAGATTTCCAGTATAAATACTTCAGCTAGTGAATTCACAGCTAGAAAATCGTGAGTATATCAATATATTATATAGGAGCATAGAAAGGAACCCCTTCGAAATACTTTGAGATCGAGATGTATTGCCTAACAATTTAACCCACGGAAGTTTCCTACTGCCTGTCTTTTACGGGGTTAATCGTTGTTACTTGTACCAGCTATATTTCATTAATAAAAATGAAATAGATATCCGAAATGTATATATCTATTAGTATATCCCACGCATAATTATTGAACAATATTAATGAGAATGATAAGATTTCTCTCCCCTTCGTCATGTATAGCAAAATCAAGAAGTGTTGGGGATCACATCAATGTTCTAAAATATTCGTGCTACATCATCAGGTATACTTGATTTTAACAAACAATTTTTCGTTTAATATCCGAAGTTATACATGTTCATAGTGTATATGAAAATAAGAAGGAAGAAATGGGCAATAAATCAAATAGACTTTGGCATGTGCATATCGCACACAGACATTGTGTCATCGTGTTAATCTACTATCGACATATGCATCAAAACATTCAGTTCTTTATGGATCTAGACCATTCTCTTCAAGAAAAAATAAATTTCTCGGTCAACTTTCGGTTTCGACGTCCAGACTGTACATGACATTGTGAGATCAGAAACTCATATCGCTTTCATATTAATATCAATTAATGCTATTTGTTAATCGCGAAACACATAAAATGAAATTGTTGTTATTTAAAATACTAACTTACATGTATATGACCGAGTCAAATATATCAAAATGTATTACCAATATACATCACGCCAAAATCCGGTCGGTGCAACTCTAGTGATAGCAGTTCGAGGGTATCTGTACGAAACTAACTGGCTGAATTCCAAAGTACAAAATTTCTTCATAAATATCTTATTTTTTGGTCATTGTTTTATATTTGACAAAATATCCAAAACTGCATTTTGATTTGTATTTATCATATATTTCCAACAACCGGCACGTGCCGCGAAAGCGGATCTTTATAAAAAGAAAAGTAGAGACAGATCAGATATTTGTATCTGTTGTCCAGATGTAAGGGTTGTTTGTTTAATATATGCATGTGAGATATTCTGCATACCCTCAGTTTGTAAGAGAATATAGGAAAACATATTCCTGAAAATTATGGTTTTTTTTCTGTAATACCTGTGATAGAGTACGTCATGCAGCAAATTAAATTGGAGTTATCTCCCTTCCACAGCTGACCTTCACTTCCTGCAATGTTGTGTGATTGACTTTCTGTTTGCCGGTCTCACACACGATGGGCACCGTACAAGCTAAAGTAAGGAAAGATCATTTACTTTGACAAATAGAATTGAATATGCAGTCACATATTTGTTCAGCTAGACATCATGCCAACCATTATGTCAGAACTTGAAGCATTTGTTTAGGTTAAGCTGTTCAGTGCCGACTGGCATGTCACTGATACCCTGACATTATCGATACATTTAGTCATTTTTTGTTTACTTGTGTCGATTATCAAATGCATAAAAACATTTTTATTTGACCAAACTTATCAAATCTGGAAACAAAGTGTAATGTTTACAATGAATAATATTATTTTCAATAACTTGCTGATATGCATTGCATTGGTTTTGGATTTTACAACATACATGTACTCAATTACTTCACAGAAATAATCCTTTTATATGTGAAATAATTGTTTATTTGCTGGATTCATTGCCCGTTAATAGCCCTGGTCATTTTGAGGTGGGGTCTGGTTGTAGAAACTGGTGGTTAACTCTATAAAATGTTCTGGGTACACGTCACATCACACGCAAAGTAATTGCGTTACACATAGAGGGTAAGGTATCTTGCCCATGGATACGATAACGGTCACTCTGCCAAGTCCGTTTCTCAGCTTCCTGAGAGCACAAACCACCATGGATATGAAACATCAAATCATGCACCTTGGAACTCCACCTAAAAACACTTAGCCAACACTCTATCCAACTGAGCTATCTAGGTCCTTTTTGAAATGATAAAAATAATACTGTTGTAACATGTATGTAATAAAGATATTCCTTGTGTATCATTATTCTTACAACTAGTTCACATATAAAACTGCCAATTACTTTGAATACTGTGTACAGTACATGCACCATGACACGCCAACAAGAAATACCACAACACAAGTTCACATTGTGATAGGATTAAATATCAATAACATTCCCATCAGACATGCAGCGCTAGAATACATCTCAAATTCTTCAAACAAATCATAAATTATGTGTATCATCATATGCACAATTATCCTCAATACTGCACCACAGAACACAATGTGGGTATGTACATTGTAGGTACATTATGTGCAATCATATCCGGACATACATATATATGTATAGACACATAAATATTCCTTCCTTCTGCCATAAAACAGTGGAACTTTCTTCTCATCACAATTAGCAAAAGGAAAAAAATTAAGAATTCAAAACCAAAGCGACAAATAACATCCTTGCATTCATCCTCAAGCATTATAAGAAAGTTACAAAGCTACAATCATCAGATTGTGAGCTTTCATCAATCTACCCATCTGTACATCCATCCCATTTTGTGCCAGTTTCATTTTGGGACTGATCAGAAAAACAAAATGGCCAACAGGTGGTCATCTTGTTGTTTGATAATAAAGTTGAAATGCACATCATGAAGGACAGAAGACTTTTTTACCGAAACAAATAAAAATGACAAGACTCAGTGAAATGAAAAAGTGTCTGTATTACTGATTTGCAATTGATTCCTGAGTGGACTGTTTGCTAAAATCTTATAATGTGGAATGACAAATTCCATGTCATATTATATAGCAGATTTTATCTTGACTCACTGTAAACACAACTGGGTGTTTTGATGAGCAGTGTAAACATTCTTTTTCCCCACTAGTTTAGAAATTTATCTCCATTTTGTTAACATTTATTTCCAGGAAATGGAAGGCCACACACAAATTGATGATTCAGCTCCGCGGACAAGAAGATCAGTAGACTTTAGGCGACCTGTAAGATAACCAGTCTGGAATTTTTTTCTTTTCGTTTTACCTTTTGATTTTTTACTTGTTACTTGTAATGGTGTTATTGATAATTCACCAAAGTTTATAAAGTGTGTTTGCACAAAGAAAAACAAAGAAATGAAAAACCTTTCAGCTTGAAAACAAGAAAAATGGATATTGATTACTAGAATACTCAGGATATGGTTTAGTGGGAACTAGTAATCATAAAACTGAAAGATATTTGTGGTAAATATGGTAGATGCAGTCATTGTGTTTTCATTTATATAGGCCAAAGTACGGAGAGTTTTGATTGAAGGGCTAGTGAGAACAAAAGAGGACTTTCTTCTTCCAAAGATCAGAGATGCATTTTCTGCTGAAAATTTTGAACAGGTGAGCTGAAGCAAAAGTGTTTAATTTTGTTAATTATGACAGAGAAAAATCAGTGATAATAAAAATTATATCTGATTTTTCATTTTCTTGTTAGTTGTGGTTAATTTAAGTAGATTAAAATTCTATTTCTGAATATTTGTTTTTGAAGTTTTAAATCATCAGGATTTACAGAATGAGTATATTTCTTTTAATGCTACAAAAATGATTTGTGTTTTGTAACTGGTTTAATTTTGTAGGTAGTGAGACAATGTGTTGTATCCAAGGCTAATCTCCAGGAACTGGGTATCTTCAAAACTGTGAAAATAACAGTAGACACATGTCAAGGTATAGCATAAATAAAGAATTCAAGTTCCTTGTCTTGCAGATCGAGTTATTTCATTTCTAATATCAATGCCTTTCAATAATGCTGTAAGTGTTCTGTTCTGTATACCCATCTTTATTTATGCCAAGGAACTTGTGTCACATTGCATTGTGACTGGATACAAATGGTAACAAACTGGGCTCTCTTTTGTAATTCTTTCTGATCTTTTACTTGTACAAAGAAGAAGTTATTTCATCTGTGTATGCATGTATATATTATCCCATCTTAATTTCACACTACAGGGTGTGTCATGTACATTGAAATTACTCTATGTTTTTGTTGCTAGCCCCTGGTGCTTCTCAAACAGATTATGATGTCAAGTTTATAGTGGAGGAGAAACGAGTTGAGGGTGGCGTGCACACATCTGCAGGAAACAATGACATAGAGTCGGTAAGGTCATGTTGTGACTGTTGTACTGATCATTCAGATATCAGATACTGGTATATTAAAAGTGAGATAAACCATCAAAAAGAAGGGTATAACTTCAACAACCTAATCCTATAAGACATTTAATGTAAAACACATATCAATAGTCTGATGAAATAACGTTTTACCTGTTTTGAATTAGGTTGATATTTAATAAACCATTACATGCTGATTTGCAGTCCTTGACGCTGGGTTTGAATAATTTGTTTGGGAGAGCTGAGAAATTGGCTGCTAGATATGCCCACACAAGAAACTTCCGAAGTAGGAAGAACAACCAGGCTCACATACAGTTCACTAAGCCACTCAATGGAAACCCCAAAGTCAGGTAACTGAGCAGTTCAGTAAGTGACTCAATGGAAATACCAACATCAGGTCACATGACTACATGTAAACAACTTGATTGTCACTCCAGTGTCAGGTAATGGTATTATGTCACAGGAAAATGCCAGTGTCAGGCGAGGTTCATAATTCACAGCTGTATGTTGACTCTAACTTCAAACCTGTGATCATCAATGAATCTATATTAGGTTGACTTCATATTTTGACTCTGTACTGGTTGTTTGACTCTTTATATTGACTCTGTTCCTGTAGGTTGAGGCCATAACTTCACTCACTTCTGATACCTGTTGACTCAATGTATATTAACTATGTACTGGTAGGTTTATTCTTTATATTGACTGTCAATATAATTTGACATTGTGCAATGTATGTTGAGTGGGTATCTGAAAGGATGACTCTGTATATTAACCATGTACCTGTAGTTGATTCCATATATTGATTCTGTAGTTTTAGGTAAACTCCTTAATGTATGTAACCAAAAAGGTTAAATCTGTATACAATTTTTTTTATGATATTAAGGGGTTCCATTGCTTAAATATGGTAGTCTCATAACTTAGTGAGTCCTTCAGGAAAAGAATGAGTACAGAATTCAGTCATCTGAGTGTGAAAAAATACTGCATATATTGACAATATACAAATGTACACGATCCTGTAGATTGACTCTATATATTGATTCTGTTCTTGTAGAATGACAGTATACCTGTAACTGACTCCATATATTGACTTTGCATATGTAGATTAACTCTTGAAGAGGAATCTGTATACTAGTCGCAGGTTGGCTTACCACTTCCATCCAAACCTGGCATGTCCTTAAATGCCCTGACTGTTGATAGAATGTAAAGCAACAAATACCAAACCCAAACTTTTATTTTGACTCCGTACTTTAAGGTTGACTCCTTGTATTGACTCTGTACCTGTTGATTGACTCAACATGTATATTGACTATGTACCGGTACCTGTACATTGACTCATATGCCTATAAGTTGATTTTGTATTGTGACGTATCTGGAGATTGTCTCAGGATATTATCTCTTTACCTGTAGATTGGCCTTGGGAGGGTACAGCACCAATACAGATGTCCTACTTAGTGGTTACAAAGAGGCCAGTAAAGGATTGTTGGCAGCATTCACTGTAAGTTTTTAAAACCAAAGTGTTTGAATATCTCTAGATCCTATGCTAGCTGAATTATTGTGACGTGCATTTAATATGTTAATACCACATAGATCATATGACAAATCATGTGTAACTGCTGTGTGATGAATGGCGTCTGATATTTGTCTTGATATGGAGTCAATGTCGGTCAAAATTCAATGAGGAAATTCCTTGTGGGTTTTTAATTATTTTCTCAAAACCTTTATGATAAAGTCTATATTTTTAAGACTTTGTAATATGATCTGTTTATTAAGTTGCTGATTATGTCACTTTTCTAAAGGCTTGTGACATATCTAACAATTGAACTTACTTAATTTACTTCGTTTCAATACAAGATTGAAAAGCACGTGAACCTGGTACTACCACATTAAGAGTTCAATCTGTAATAATGATATCACAGCAGATTGTTCTATCTCCATCTTCCAGCTGTAATACCTGGTAATGGCAGATACTTGGTAATATTTAGTAAGTTTTGTTGGATCAGACTAAAGATGATTGGTCTGCTGTGATGTGAAATGTTTTTAATGTATTGGTAGTCATTTTTTGTGATCTTAGAAGTATAATATTGACAGCAAGCATTTTTGTTTAATGTTGTTAATTGTTTAAACTATATTTATTATTGTATCTAATGCTACATATTAGTTGGTCAAGATTATTGAAGATAGTGAAACTATTTTGAAATAGAGATCTGGCTAAAGGTCTCAGTGAAATGGTAAGGACGTTGTTTATAGACCTCACATATAATGAACAGCCACTGAAAACTTTTGAATCATTCTGTAATTGTTTGGTGTCTTGTAGTTCCCATCCACACTGGGGACCCACACTGTACAATGGGATGGGGTGTGGAGGGATCTCAGAGCCTTATCTAGGACCACACCCTTCGCTGTCAGAGAGCAGGCAGGCCATACCCTCAAGTCAAGTGTACAGGTAAGATAGAACACCTTTCATTAACAGAGAGCTGTAGAACCATACTCTCAAGTCAAGTGTACAGGTAAGATAGAACACCTTTCATTAACAGAGAGCTGGAGAGCCATACCCTCAAGTCAAGTGTACAGGTAAGATAGAACACCTGTCATTAACAGAGAGCTGTAGAACCATACTCTCAAGTCAAGTGTACAGGTAAGATAGAACACCTTTCATTAACAGAGAGCTGGAGAGCCATACCCTCAAGTCAAGTGTACAGGTAAGATAGAACACCTTTCATTAACAGAGAGCTGTAGAACCATACTCTCAAGTCAAGTGTACAGGTAAGATAGAACACCTTTCATTAACAGAGAGCTGGAGAGCCATACTCTCAAGTCAAGTGTACAGGTAAGATAGAACACCTTTCATTAACAGAGAGCTGGAGAGCCATACTCTCAAGTCAAGTGTACAGGTAAGATAGAACACCTTTCATTAACAGAGAGCTGGAGAACCATACTCTCAAGTCAAGTGTACAGGTAAGATAGAACACCTTTCATTAACAGAGAGCTGGAGAGCCATACTCTCAAGTCAAGTGTACAGGTAAGATAGAACACCTTTCATTAACAGAGAGCTGGAGAACCATACTCTCAAGTCAAGTGTACAGGTAAGATAGAACACCTTTCATTAACAGAGAGCTGGAGAGCCATACTCTCAAGTCAAGTGTACAGGTAAGATAGAACACTTTTCCCCATCATTGAGCAGAAGGACCACACCCTTAAGTCCAGTGTACAGGTAAGACAGAACACTTTTCCCCATTACAGAGCAGAAGGACAATACATTTATGTCCAGTGTACAGGTAAGACAGAACACTTTTCCCCAATATAGAGCGGGAGGACAATACATTTATGTACAGGTAAGATAGAAAAGCCTTTTCGATCAGTGTTTTTTATTTTCTCTTGTAAAAACTATTCACTTTTGCCAGGTGTTGAAATGTCTTTAAAGTTTAAAATGAAATAATAATAACAAAAAAAAACATAGTTTTAGCTTTAATATCAAACTTAAAGCTCTCTTTCATTTTTATCATTTTGGCAAAAGTTAGACTTGAGTAAACATTTTCCTAGACACACCCTTAAAAGTAAGCTTTGAATAGAATCGGTAGTGAGTCTGTATTAAAGGGAAAAGTAAGCATCAGTTGGAACCTTAATGACTTACAATAATTGTGGTTAGAGGCCTGTCTTAGCCAGATTAAATCAATTACGAGTACTATAGAAGTCTGTTCTGTTTTCAGCACACAGTCACCACTGACACAAGGGATGATAAGATACTTCCCCATGCTGGATTCTTGTTAAGAGCTGCTCAGGTATGATAGAAAATATTATGAAATAGAAGTAAGTAAGATGTAGATTAAGAACTTTTCAGCAGTGAGTGATATCTTTCTGGTTGAGTATTAATTGCAACCTAGACTTCGGGAATTTTAATTTGAGGGTTGAACTTTCACTGTCTACATCACACAGCAGTGGTTGTGTTTCTCTGTTCTTTCCTACAACACTTACATGCAAATGTGAACCACCTGAACTCACAATAATTGTTAGACTCTGTGACAAATGGTGACACAAACTTATTATGATATGGTCACACTTCATACACAATTTGATTCACAACTATCTATGGTGTTGAAAATTTGAAGTTTTCAAAAACACCTGTTCGTCTTTTTAGCTTGCCTCTAAAAAAAAGGTGAGCTTATGTAGTCACCCTGGTGTCAATGTTAGCATTGACGTTTGTTTCTAAATGTTGACAGGCATCAGTAAACTCCTTTGTAAGTGTACTAGGGAGCTGATATTTGGTTTGTGGGTTGGTGTGGGAGTGAACTGTTACTGTATGGAGTTGAATAGTTTGATGGAAGAAAATGTTGGTTTTTTTTTTTAAACATTATGACTTCAAAATTATGTCTCAAATCTAACCTAATCAAATCTAATGTCAAGTTTTTGTGCCAGTGTTGAAAGACATAATTTCCTGTTCAAATTTCAGGATATATTTAGATACCTATTCCAGTTGTTGAAACCATCACATAATGCTTGTGTGAGGTTTAGTGTTAAACAATGTATGACAAGCTTTTGTACTGTTGGAGGTTCTCTCGTTCTACATGTAGATTGTTATGGATTGACTCGCCATTCCTCTGAAAGCATAAAACAGTTTTGTACTGTTGGAGGTTCTCTCGTTCTGAATGTTAATTAACTCAATTATTCCTCTGAAAATATAAAACATTTTGTAAGGTTGGAGGTTCTCTCATTCTACATTTAGGTAGGTATGGATTGACTCATCATTCCACTGAAAATATTAAAGGGATGTACAGGTAGAGATTACCATGTATAGGTTTATGTTGAAATCTTACTTGACTCAAGAATTTTATTTTAAAACTAGGATTGTTGATATACATTATCTGTTATGTCTCTTCTTACAGGAATATGCTGGTCTAGGAGGAAATGTAGAGTTTGTCAAATTAAATACAGAATTTCAAGTCAATAAAGAAATCTTACCATACATAGTAAGTATTTACTGAAATGTAAGTATATATGTACATATACCTAATACATCCCTAGAGAAAAGGCGATCACTGAAATAATGAAGGCAAGGCTCAGATACATCTACAACAAAAAACAGAGGTCACTGTCTTACAGCTAAACAGTTTACCCTACCACTCAATAACATTCTACCAAAATTAGATATTGTATGGTTTGTACTCACTTTTATTATTATTGGTCAGTAATATCAGTAAATGTAATGGTGGGTTTTAATTTTTATTACTTAGGGAAAGGAAGAAGTGATAAGGTATAGATTGGTACTTATGTATATTACTTGGATGGATGTTTACATGTTTTCCTTTCTGTGACTCTTCCTAAATCTTTTCATGTATATAACTTGCAGTGATAGTTATAACTAGCTTTTGGGTTTAATTTGTGCCTCTATGTAATTTAATTATTGTGACAGTGATGGCTAGGCTACATGCACCTCAGTATAATTTGTAGTGATAGATATGGCAAGCCTATGTCTCTTTGTAAAACTTGTGGTAACAGTGATGACTTACCTGTGTGTCTTGATAAAATTGTATTAGCAAATGATGACAAGGCCATGTGTCTTGTTATAATTTGTAGTGATAGATATGGCAAGCCTATGTCTCTTTGTAAAATTTGTGGTAACAGTGATGACAAGCCCATGTGTCTCGGTATAAATTGTGGTGATAGTTATGGCTAACCTTTGTGCCTCTTTATAATTTCATCTTTGTGACAGTGTTGGCTAGTCTATTTTTGATTTATTTTAAGGTTGTCCAGTTGTCTGCAGCATGTGGTACCATGTGGGGAGTTGGCAACAACAAGAAAATAGCTATCAATGACAAATTTTTCCTGGGAGGTCCACTTACCCTGAGAGGCTTTCATGACAGAGGAGTCGGGCCACATGTGGAAGGTTAGTTACCTTTTCTATCCATAAGGTAGTTTTAACCAGATGTAGGTACATTAGGACAAGAAATGCCTACTGGTGTTTTATTCTGTGGGCTGTTTAATGTCTTTAGGTTAACAGGAATCAGTGTGAGCTGAATATAATATGTTGTTACTTTTTGTACCAATTTTGAAATTTCATACTAAAACTGTACTTTGTGTAAATGTAAATTTATAATTCATGTAAGTAAGAGAAACACTTAGACAACTGATAGTGGTACATGAATGTATTCTTTTGTAAGGAAATTTTATTTGATGGAAAGATGTTAGGAACTGATATTTGTATTTTGCATTATATTATTAGGAAATGCTGTAGAAGTGAGATTTTCATACTTTAGTTTACAGAAATGCCACATGAACAACTGATAAATGTGTATTATATGTGTATACTTTATCTGAAGGAAACGCTCTAGGAACAGATGCTTACTGGCTTTGTGCTGCCCACATCTACACACCTCTGCCGTTCAGACCAGGCCTAGGAGGGTTTGGGGACTTATTCAGATCTCATGCTTTTGTTAATGTAGGAAATGTTGGCAGTGTTGAATTAGGTAAGAAATTTTTTTTTTCTGGAATGTTTTGTAACAGAACTTAGAGTACTAGGTTCTCTTTAACTACTGGAAGTTAACTCTGTATTCCACGTGGTGTCCAGAGATATATAGTCAAATGTGTGTGTCTATCTTTGTAATGCATTATCAGTCATACAATAAACTACATATTCTTCGCCTTGTCTTAACATGGTATATCACAGAATTATCTGTGATTAGGTAACACAGTTTCTGCTTTCTCTGTGAAGTCTCCTATGACAGGTTATTGTGTACTTTTACACCAATCACAGATTTTGCTGACATCATATAATATGGCATTAACTTTCAGAAATGCATTTTGATATGATTAACTTTAACAACACATTGTATGGAAGTTTATGTAATGTTGCTGTAGACATATAGTATGTTTCTAATAGTTTGATAGATAATATACAGACCTCTATTTTGGAGAACTTTCCTGGTACGTGTACTAGTAAGCGAGTAGACAACCATTACATCATGTCATCAACTTTACACTTTTTATTTTAGAATGTATACATTTAACATCAGTTACTTGATATTTTATTTTGATTACAGATAAATCTTTAAAAGAAAACATCGAACAGTTATCTAATGAGTTCCGGCTAGCATATGGTGCAGGACTCGTCCTCAAGCTTGGCAACATTGCACGGATGGAACTGAACTACGTTGTCCCTGTACGGGTCATGAATGGAGACTGGTAAGTGATCCAAATGTGGTGCTAAAATGATTACGAATTGTCTTTGATTCACCTGTTAGTCAAAGGGCTCTACATTAAAAGCTGTTAGCCACACAAACTACATACTACCAGTTAATGTGTCCCTAAGACATCAATCAGTAAAAGTACAACTTTAGTGTATTACATTAGAGTGGATTGAACATTTATGAATGTTATTTAAGTTACTAAGTAATTTGAAGTCGATTCTTAATGTAATTATAAAAGAAGTTTTTTTCTATCTTCAGTAAAAGCATGATTAATGTTCAAGTAGATCAATACGTGCCCTACATCAAAGATATGTGATAAGTCTGTGGCAGTTGTTTGTGTCGTGACAGTTACCTCCCTTTGTACAGTACTGAGCTTGACATTTGAGTACTAGTAGCTGACTAGATTTATATTAGGAATGATATAAGAGAGCGGCTGCCATGTACTGTAAATCATCTAGATTTTACGAATATTTCATTTTGTGAGCTTTCATGTACTTCTTCAGACATATTTGGGAATACAAGATATCGTGAACAGTGATCTAGAAATGACTTGAAATTCACAGAAGATGGGCTATTAGACATGTGGATTCCGATATCAGGAACTGAATCAGCAAGGATATCATCAAGATTTATTTGTTTACAAATAATAATAAGGGATTTAATTTTACCATTAATCTCCTCGCATCTTAATGTAAAAATAAATCACACGCAAAATGATTTACACTGCGATGAACTTTGTCGTACATTAATGTTGTTGCTCATGTTAGAAAGTTACGTTCATACAATTAGTAGGAATGTCAGGTATTATTGCCTTGTTGAAAATCAGTTATACAGGATGTTGCATCTTTAAACTAAGTGAAAGGTCCTCCTTTGTTAGGCAATGATTTTATAATATATTTTTCATACAGGTTTTTAGGTCACCTGAGACAAAGTCTCATGGTGATCTTTTGTGATCACTTCTGGCGTTGCGTGTCCGTAAACAGTTTTACATTTTAACTTCTCAAAAACCCTGAACCTATTTAAACGAAATTTTGAATAAACCTTTCTTGGCCCAAGATGAGACCAACTAGTGAATTATATGGTCACCACCCTACAGGAGCCTGAGGGCAGGGCCAGAAGGGATAAAATTGACTCGAATTTCAAAAATCTTCTTCTCAATACCCTGATATGTTAGAATTTAGTACTCTTCCTGTATAAAAGAGTCGTATTTTTAAAAATAAGGAGCTTTACCAATATTGTGAATTTCATGGCCCCAGGGTCTCACATTTCCCCGTGGTTAAGGGGTAAATTTGACTATAGTTTATATAAAAAAAATTGATTTAGGAGCATAATATATCATCAAACTTGGTCAGAATGATGAGGGAAGGATGACGGCATGATGATATGCCCATATTGATCCTATCTGACCCCCAGGGTTTTATGAGCAGAGCCAAAAGAGGTCAAATAGACTGATTTGAAAAAAATATCTGCTCAATTACTGTAATTTTTAAGGAAAAATGCATTTTGAACATAGTGTTGTTACTATTGGGTTACTATTATCAATGTCACAATTTCTTTTTTAACCTCACGTGGCCTGAAGGTCCAAGTGGGCTTATGCCATGGTCCAGGTTTAACTTTTTCATTTACACAACTTCTTCTGAATAACCAATGGACCAGATGTTTTGATATTTGGCTGGTATGTACCAAGGATGAATCATGACAGGTGAGCACTGCAGGCCCATTGGGACACTTGAAAGCTATCTACATTTTAATCTTTATAATCAATATTGCTTATCTGAGGTGACCATCAAGGCCGCTAGGCCCCTTGTTTGTGGACATTTTCTACACTTTCTTTATTTTGGTTGTAGTGTGAATCCTGGGATACAGTTTGGTGTTGGGATGACCTTCCTCTGATTCATCGATGTCATTTTAGTGAGCACAATAAGAATATTAGTGTGAATTGCTGCATGTGGACACTATAAATTGCATTGTCAACCAGAGAAATTCCCAGAGCGTCATTGTGATAAACGCCCACTGAAGTCTAGTAACTACTATTAATCATAATCTCTTGAGACCTGGAATATGCAGTAAACTTTCACAGTCTAAAGAACATAAGGTCCAGACTGAGTTTGTCAAGTTTCAAGATCTGGCTCAGAGGAACTCTTCAATGTGTCAGTATGGAAATTTAACAAGTCAGTATTAAAGTGTACTGTGTTGAATTGTACGACACTCTGGTTTGACAATAAAGTTTTGACAAATTTCTGCTTCTCTGTGTAATGTGAGTGGAAATATGATCAGTGGAATTTTTAAAATGATGGCTTTTTTGACAGAGTATACAAGATTATTGTTACTAAATTGACAGGATGCCGAACAGAAAATATAAAAGAAGCAAGAAGATTTTGCAACAAAAATAATTCAGTGGTGAAAATATCAGATTTACATTTGATTAAAACATTTCAGTAACACTTGTTTTGTGAGAGAATGGTATTTGACTCATTTTGCTGTTGAATATAACCCTCCATTGTAACAGTAAAGATTAAACACCATGATCATACACCGTTGTTGTTTGGTTTATTTACCAGTAGAAATTTGTACTAACTAATTTTATTACTTAAATGGGTGCCTTCCATCATATGTCTTGTAGTTGCAGATGTCAGACTTCATTCTACAGTTTATTTCAGCTCCTTTAGGTCACACTACACACATGTAAAACTTCATTCTACAGTTTATTTCAGCTCCTTCAGGTCACACTACACACATGTAAGACTTCATTCTACAGTTTATTTCAGCTCCTTTAGGTCACACTACACACATGTCAGACTTCATTCTACAGTTTATTTCAGCTCCTTCAGGTCACACTACACACATGTAAGACTTCATTCTACAGTTTATTTCAGCTCCTTCAGGTCACACTACACACATGTAAGACTTCATTCTACAGTTTATTTCAGCTCCTTCAGGTCACACTACACACATGTAAAACTTCATTCTACAGTTTATTTCAGCTCCTTTAGGTCACACTACACACATATAAGAACAAAAACACAGGTGTTGAGTGTTGTTACACTGAAGACAGGTTTACAGTTGTGACATGTGACAACAGGTAACACCACGGCTCCTTCTGGAATACATTGTTTCTATTGTTTGTTTTGATTGACATAGTTACTTCTTATTGTGAATAGCTCATCATTTCATATATAGATGTATGTAGTCTTTTTTATGTTAAAGTCTGCGTTTTTAAATGAATCTTACTCTAAAATCCAGTGACTCGATATTCACCAACTTTGGTGTGCCTAAAGGTGAGTCAGTTGAGATGAACACTCTAGATAAATTTCTCAACTGACTTTGTGTTTGTATCAGTTTGAAACAAAGCTGTATATCATCATCACATGGTATTGTATCAACATATCTCATATTCATACTAATACTATTAAACCATATTCAAACCATCCCTTAAAATAAAATGTAATTTTGCTGTTACATGCTCGAAAATGAAAACATGTCTGGATTTGAAACCTTGGGGTAAGTCTTCAGTCATTACCTTAACTGTTTTTGTAGGGTATTGTAACCTTTGGCTAAGTCTCCCATCAACACGTTTACTATTTTTCCTTGTAGTGTTGTTGCCTTGTGGTAAGTCTCATCGGTACCTATACTGTTTTCCCTAAAGTGTTGCAGTCATTTAATGATTTTATTGCAGCTTCAGCGTTAGTACTTGATCAGAACTATCTAGTGTACTTCCTGAAGTGTTGTAGACTCTGCGTTAGTACTTGATCAGAACTATCTAGTGTACTTCCTGAAGTGTTGTAGCCTCGGCGTTAGTACTTGATCAGAACCATTCAGTGTACTCCCTGAAGTGTTGTAGCTTCGGCGTTAGTACTTGATCAGAACCATTCAGTGTACTCCCTGAAGTGTTGTAGCTTCGGCGTTAGTACTTGATCAGAACCATTCAGTGTACTCCCTGAAGTGTTGTAGCTTCGGCGTTAGTACTTGATCAGAACCATTCAGTGTACTCCCTGAAGTGTTGTAGCTTCGGCGTTAGTACTTGATCAGAACCATTCAGTGTACTCCCTGAAGTGTTGTAGCTTCGGCGTTAGTACTTGATCAGAACCATTCAGTGTACTCCCTGAAGTGTTGTAGCTTCGGCGTTAGTACTTAATCAGAACCATTCAGTGTACTCCCTGAAGTGTTGTAGCTTCGGCGTTAGTACTTGATCAGAACCATTCAGTGTACTCCCTGAAGTGTTGTAGCTTCGGCGTTAGTACTTGATCAGAATTATCTAGTGTACTCCCTGAAGTGTTGTATCCTCGGCGTTAGTACTTGATCAGAACCATTCAGTGTACTCCCTGAAGTGTTGTAGCCTCGGCGTTAGTACTTGATCAGAATTATTCAGTGTACTCCCTGAAGTGTTGTAGCTTCGGCGTTAGTGCTTGATCAGAATTATCTAGTGTACACCCTGAAGTGTTGTAGCTTCGGCGTTAGTACTTGATCAGAATCACTCAGTGTACTCCCTGAAGTGTTGTAGCTTCGGCGTTAGTACTTCATCAGTGTACTCCCCGAAACGGTTCGACCTTGACGTTAGTCTTAGATCAGAACCATCACCAAGTATTCCCCCCACCAATTGTTTGGCCTCTGATCAGTACCTTGAACCCGTCCCCCGATTGCTTTTTTTGGTCTTACCCGCGATTATGACCCAATACTTCATTTAAAAAGCCTGGCCTTTTCCCTATAGAAAGGACTTTGATGTATGCGTCTGGCTTTACAAACAAGTTTCATACACCTTAAATAATGTAGCTTAAAATGAAAGTAATTCTTAACCAATTAGCATCTGTGATTGTATCACGCAAACGGTACACAAAGAAATTCAGTTTTCCGAGATAAAGTACATGCGCACTTTAGCAGAAATACTTTTGAAGTTAGTCGTGAAACTGTCATAATGTCTATTCTAATTACCTGTGTTAAACGGAAATGATGATAGAATAACGTTTAGTCTAATTTATTGGAAATGTTCAAAGACGGGGACGGACTTTGTTCGACTGGTATGAAGCAGAAAAGAAACTCGTTTAGACTAATTATCTTAAGGGATGTGTTTAATATCGAGTACTTAATCATAACTCCATCATGAATTGAGTTTTAAATGCATCTTGCATATTACCAGAACCTAGTCCTGTTTCATCAGCCATCAGTTTTCGATTGATATGTAAAGTGGTTTGTTTACTATACCTGTGAAACAAAACGAAGTGTTTACAAGTTTTCTCCTATCATGATTGAATTAATTCTAGTAAAGAAAATGATTTTTGAAAGTTGATGTTTCTATTGAAGTATAAAGGACCAAACATTTGAATATAAAACATAAAATCGAACTTTCGATATGATTGATTAGTTTAAGAGGTTTTGACTTGTTTGTGTGACAATTTATACCATCAACGACAAACAAAAGTCTTCGGTTGTCATTATTTTGTTAATGAAATTAAAAACGAGCTAGATGATGTCAGTACCATACGACTGAACACGAATACAGAAATTACATGCTGTCAACCAATCATAATATTTATCCATCTTAACCGCGCCGATCAAAAACGGGTGGTGGAGTATAACACCGGATAGCAGGGTTAAATTGTGTGATCCCAGAGTAGGACTGATTGCGTAATGATGGAGCTTGATTGCAACAATATCATTTTATTACTTGTATTCTGAGAAATCAAACAAATGGTCTGGAAAAAGCTGATTGTTGTTGGATGTCGCATACCACTTTCAATGTAATATTATAAGGACTGGTACGATTTAGAATATACTAATGGAATCGATGTTTTTATTACCATCTAATATTGAACCCTAACGAAAATACCTAACAGGTGACACAACTTTATCTTTATTTCAGTACAGGTTTGTATGTGGTTTTCAGAATACAGTTTTCCACATTTTATCATCACCGAAGAACCGAGTCATAGTTAATGGTTTACGGATACAAAAATAATACACACAGGTAGATAGTTAATGGTTAAAGAATGCACACATGTAGATAGCTAATGGTTTAACAATGCACACAGGTAGATAGTTAATGGTTTAAGAATACACACAGGTAGATAGTTAATGGTTTAAGAATGCACACAGGTAGATAGTTAATGGTTTAAGAATACACACAGGTAGATAGTTAATGGTTAAAGAATACACACAGGTAGATAATTAGTGGTTTAAGAATACACACAGGTAGATAGTTAATGGTTTAAGAATACACACAGGTAGATAGCTAATGGTTTAAGAATACACACAGGTAGATAGTTAATGGTTTAAGAATACCCACAGGTAGATAGCTAATGGTTTAAAATACACACAGGTAGATAGTTAATGGTTTAAGAATGCACACAGGTAGATAGTTACTGGTTTAAGAATGCACACATGTAGATAGTTAATGGTTTAAGAATACACACAGGTAGATAGCTAATGGTTTAAGAATACACACAGGTAGATAGTTAATGGTTTAAGAATACACACAGGTAGATAGCTAATGGTTTAAGAATACACACAGGTAGATAGCTAATGGTTTAACACAGGTAGATAGCTAATGGTTTAAGAATACACACAGGTAGATAGCTAATGGTTTAACACAGGTAGATAGCTAATGGTTTAAGAATACACACAGGTAGATAGCTAATGGTTTAAGAATACACACAGTTAAATAGGTAATGGTTTAATCATACACACAGATAGATAGTTACTGGTTTAAGAATACACACATGTAGATAGTTAATGGTTTAAGAATACACACAGGTAAATAGTTAATGGTTTAAGAATACACACAGTTAAATAGGTAATGGTTTAAGAATACACACAGTTAGATAGGATAAGGTTTAAGAATACGCACAGGTAGATAGTTAATGGTTTAAGAACACACACAGGTAGATAGTGAATGATTTAAGGATACACACATGTAGGTAGTTAATGGTTTAAGAATACACACAGGTAGGTAGTTAATGGTTTAAGAATACACACAGTTAAATAGGTAATGGTTTAATCATACACACAGTTAGATAGGATATGGTTTAAGAATACGCACAGGTAGATAGTGAATGATTTAAGGATACACACAGGTAGGTAGTTAATGGTTTAAGAATACACACAGGTAGGTAGTTAATGGTTTAAGAATACACACAGGTAGTTAATGGTTTAAGAACACACAAGAATACACACAGGTAGATAGTTAATGGTTAAAGAATACACACAGGTAGATAGTTTATGGTTTAAGAACACACACAGGTAGATAGCTAATGGTTTAAGAATACACACAGGTAGATAGCTAATGGTTTAAGGATACACACAGGTAGATAGTTAATGGTTTAAGAACACACACAGGTAGATAATTTAAGGATACACACAGGTAGATAGTTAATGGTTTAAGAACACACACAGGTAGATAGTGAATGATAAGGATACACACTAATGGTTTAAGAACACACACAGGTAGATAGTTTATTATTTAGGATACACACAGGTAGATAGTTAATGGTTTAAGAACACACACAGGTAGATAGTGAATGATTTAAGGATACACACAGG